GGGTGTAGCAGCAGCAGCAGCAGCAGCAGCAGGAGCAGCAGCAGCAGGAGCAGCAGCAGCAGCAGGAGGAGGAGTAGTAGTGGTGGTAGTAGTAGTAGTCGTCGTCGTCGTCGTAGTAGTTGTAGTAGTCGTCGTCGTCGTAGTAGTTGTAGTAGTCGTCGTCGTCCTACTAGTAGCAGCCGCAGTTTAAGTAGAAGTAGAAGTTGTAATATAGTAGTAGTAGTCGTCGTCGTCGTGCTCATAATGATACTAGAGTAGTGTTGGCAGTACAAGAACTGTTGTTTGGTTGCTGCAACATTCTGGGCTTTCAGCAGTCCTCTCTTTCTCTGGTTGCTGGGACTCTTAGTAACACTTCTGGTTTGGAAAGCCGGGTCCCAAAGTCAGGCCTTTCCTCCTAAAGCCTGCGTTTCATCCCCTGATATCCCCTGGTACTGAGTAGCCTTTCATTCGAAAACCCGGACGGAAGGCGGCAGATTCGATAGATTAATTGAGAAGATATATGATGTATCGTTGCACTGCAGAGAGGCAGAGAGAGTACTTCTGTTTCGTAACCCGACACAGGGCAGGAGAAACTCAGCGAATCCATCCTGCCTCAAAGATTGCGGAATCACAGAATGCTAGAGGTTCGCATTCCACAGTTTCAGTGCAGCGGCTTTTTTTTACAAGCCTTAGAAACAACGCGTCCTCATAAGCTCCACAAGCCATGCCCGTGCGCATTTGTAGAACCCCGGGTTTGCCGTGGAAGCAGCCAGCAAAAGGATGTCGTTCAAGTTTTACTCTGCCTCAGTCTGACTTTCGTTTCCCTCTTTATGGAGCTCAGGCAACCCTGCGAATTGCTCCACTGACAGAAACAAGTTTCTAAATTGAGAAGGTGTTTGCAGCCTAGAGTTTCGTCACTGATGAGCTTAAAATTAACATCTCAAGAGTAGTCAAGCCAACAAGTACTTGCTTCAACCTGCCTCCTGACCCCTGAGGCTCTAAAAGTCCAAAATCAAGCAACGTCCAAACTTCGCATCCAACAATGCGTGGCCCAGTGGCAAAGGCGCGACGGTCGGCACCAAAGGCCGGCACCAGGCCGCGGCGCAGCTGCGCCGAGGCCTGAGTCGCTAAAACGGATCTCCAGCCTCGCTTTCGGTTTCCATCTTCGGGCTATTTTGCACGGCAGGCTCCTATAGCAATATCTCGAACAATAGGTTACCTAATAGGTTGGCCAATGTTGCGCCTTTCGAATTCTGCTGTTTGGGCAGTCCAGTTTCTAGAGGAGTCGTTTCGGCATTCCGAGAAAACCGCGACGCAGCGCAGCTGTTGCGGAATTCTCCTTTGCCGTTTTCAGGCGCCATCAATCGTTCTTCTGATGCTGGGGATCAGCCTGTTTACGTTCCGACTTTGTCACAAAGGGAAACGCTTCAGACAAATGCTCGAATCCTGCTGCTGAACTTCTCTCGGAGGACCTGTAAGGTTCCTGCGATGCGTGTCAGTATGTCAAGCTCACTGCCTTGCCAGGGCAGTCACAGTGCAGCATGCGCGGTGGAAGTCAACCCTGCCACATTGGTATCCTCATAACTTCCCCGGCCTTTGGGACCCTCGATGGCTGCGCGGAGCAGCTCCTTCAGCTTTTATCGGTGAGGCTTCCGTGAATGCGGGTGATGTGCGGAGATTCTTCTTCATTTTCATCGAAGTATCTTGGTCTGGCTATTCAAAGCTCATCGTGTTCGTACGCCGCTGTGACAATGCCAGCTGCCATAATAACATCAACTGATGTGCGCGTCTTCCGTCCAACAAGTTGTATCATGGGCGCCACAGATAGCTTGCGTGAATGTGTGAGGTGGCGAAAAAACCATGCGGCCCGCATCTTGAATGTTCCTGAACGCTACACAGCATGCCTTTGCACCTCAACCGCATCCCCGGCACGACATGCAGCTCATACAGGCACCGACTTCAGGCTCACAGCGACATGAGGCCCAGGGAACTTTGGTACACATTTGTTGCAGCCCTCGCCTCCCACAGAGGTTGAAGATCCTGCCTGGTGCACTCCAGCACTTGGCTCAACAACACATGATATGTGATGGTATGCCTGGATTGCGCAGGAGGGTGTGCCAAGAAGAACATGGCCAAATGCCATTGACCGATGTAGCCTCAAACATGCAAAAGATCCGAGAACTGCTAAACTCAAAAGAAATCACCCATAAGCGTGCAAGGTTAAGCCGGATGTTGAGCGGGGCACCACGAGGCTGTCAAACTTGCGCATTGCTGAGCCCTCCGCTGACCAGCGTCATGTCGCTCTGGCAACACCTGACCACGACTGTGCGTCGAAGTCTTCGAGCTGAGCTGACGTCTCTTTGCCAACCTCGCCCAATCCTTCCTTTGCTTCTCCACAGCCTGCGATCGGGGGCCAAATGCCGATATGATGAATGCACACAGCAGACCGTGCATGGAGCATGGGTGCCGGATCGAATCAACTTAAGCCGGATCAGAAAAAAAGAGAATGGAAAACATTTCGGCAATTTCCTGGTGGTCTCCCGTGCTGGTCTCTTGGCCATGGTCGTTGTCGTCGTCTTGGCCGATGGACACATGGTGTTAATGCTGGAAAAAACAGAGGGCAACTACCTGCGACTTGTGTTTTCCCAAACAACTCAAGCATCTTTGCACGTGAAAGTGGTCATAATGGCATGCTTCTGGTCTGGTCTTTCCACTGTTTCGGGATCTCCGCCGATAGCATTCCGAGCCCTAAGGCATGGAATGCAAATCGGATCATGATGACGGACGGTGGGCTGTGTGCAGACAATTCAAGCTTATTGAAGGACTCCTAGACTCCTAGACGTGCTGAGGATACGGGTATAGCATCTTTCGATGCTGCTGTCTCCATGGTTGCTTAAAGCCACTGCGGTGCACTCTGGATCGTACGTAGCTGCAGCGATCTTCAAGGAGTTGGGCCACTCTTTCGGGGGTGCCTCGAATATCCTCGAATAACGTCGGGTCACGTTCAACCTGATGCCAGGCTGGCTGACAACCAAACTTGGTTCTTTTGGGCGCATTCGGCTATTCGGCCGATGGTTCTTCGCCCCATTCATGAGCCATGCTTCAGGCACGACCTCCGCTTGTAGCAAATTGGATGTGTCAGCTCGTCGGGGGCTTTGCTGCAAGCGCTTCTTCAGCGCAGCTTCGGCGGTGCAAGTTAACGGCGTCCATGTTGTTGTAGCCGAGCAGTCGCCGTGGGCAGTCAGTGGGGTGAAGCGGCGCTCGAGCTGCCGTGACTCGATGACTGGATATGGTGTACTGAACCTAACCGCGCCAACCCTTTCTATCCAGGAGTTGTAAAGGAAAAACCTTGTGCCCTTGACTGAACTCGTACTTAGTCGTACTTCTGGAAACGGATATTGAGGACCTTGCCTGACACCCTGGTCGATGCCCAGGATCTTTGGGATTTTTGGGCAACGAAAAAACTTCGACTTCGCCGGGCGTTCAGCGCACAGGAGCTGAAATTTCGTGTATACTTTCTCCGTGTTTTCCTTTGAAGGCATGCGTAGATGGCTTGGGAGCTGTCTTGGCTTTGGCACCAGCCGCTGCACCTGCGTTGGCTTTGGCTTTGGCCGGGACTTTGAGCTCGGGTGGCCCTTCTGTGGCACGTTTGCCACCACCACTCAGAAACGGAATTAACACTGCTGGTGCTGCTGCATTCGTCGTTGGGAACAGTCCGGCCGGACTCTTCGTGCATCAGATGCAAGCACGGAGAAGTCACAGTCACGGTAGACGACACCAGAGTTAACTAGTGCGCATGCAGCGTGGAACCTCACAATGCCTCACAATGGGTATGATGTGGGAGCTGGAGGTGCAGACGGCCCATCAGAGATGACGTGGCCGGACTCCGTGTGAGTGAAGCGAAGGGTTGGCCCCATTCCAGCAGCATCGGGACAAAAAGCAGTTGTAATTCATGTTGTGCAGGTTTGCGCCTGTTGTGAGGATTGGAACTTAAAACGACATAATACACCGAGCTTTAAAGGCAACGTTAATATTGCTGTGACGGCAGTACACAGGCGGTGGAGTTGGCAAAGAGGTCGAGCTGGAAGCACCCATAGCCGAGGCCTCATTATGAGAACGTGATCATTGGGCGACTGAGCCTGGCTGAACTCCAGACTCGCTCGCTCATTGGGCGAATCGCAGTAGCACGCTTTGCGGTGTTCTCTGGTCGGGAGGCAGATGGGTAGACGAGCCCATTGCAGAGCCATGCAGAGCCAGCCCGGGGCCTTGCTGCAGCTGGACAGCAGGGTGTGGTTTTTCTTGTATGCCAGTACGCATACGCGGAAGACACGCAGGGGTACCAGGTGGAAGACACACAGGGGTACTAGCAAGCATGCCTGCAGCAGTCAAAAGGGACGGGCATGGACAACGCAGGGGGCCGGGACAAGTTTTTCGAAATCCGAGCTTTGCACCTGAGCGGTGTTTTTCAATTCTGTTTCAATCCCAAGGACGCAAAAACCCCTTCTGCGCAACCCTTCTGCCACTTCTTCCGCAGCCTTCCGCGCAGTAGCGCAACATCAACGCTTCGTGCCATGGCTCGTGCACATCAGCGAGACTGAGAAGTGCTGCACGCAGGCCCGTGCGACATCGCACGATAGTGTCCGAAGCCTCATGGAAACAAGGAAGCCACATGAAAGGTGTTGGTGAAGTTCGACATGCCACTGATTGGTCGGGCAGCCATTACGTTGCAGGTCCGCGACCACGACCGAGGGGCGCGTTGGGTGCTTTCATGTAATCTGCAAGCCGGGAGCGAAAACTGCGGGCTAGGCAAGAATCTGAAGACAATGGCCACACACTCCAAGCCAAAAGGGAACACCAGGACAAGCCTTGGAAAGGCGAAGCGGGAGCTACGCACACAAGAGGCGATGGCAGGGGACCGGTGTTGGTGGATGGTTGCTACTGCTACAACTGGACTATTGTTACCATAATAACGGAACCCGTTGATCCTAATTGTTGGATACTGGTTACAAGTAATTTTTTGATCCGCACGCCGTGGAGCACACACCCAGCTGCAGCGAGTTCCGAAATCGTGTGATTACTAGACTGCTTTGTTCACTGCACTGTCGAAGTGCGGACTCGCAGTTCCAGGGCCGCCTTCAATGCAGCTTCAAGAAGAACTCCTCCGTCCAAAGGCGCCTCCGAAATAGCAACAAGTACCCGGAAAAGGGTCCCTCCTGGGCCCCCGCATCGCCGCATCTCTCAGCCGCTGGCCCAGCTGGCCGGGACGAGACCAAGAGCCTGGGCCTGGCCGGAGCGAGCAGATATCCGCACCTGGAAGCACTTTTTGTGCTGCCGCTCGGGCTTCGGCTGCCCGCAGTGTTAGCAGCGCCAGGCTGTTCAGGAGCAGATCAGGCCGCTCACCTGAAACAGCGAGGCCCCCGCATCGCCGCATGCAATCCTTCCTCTTGCTGCACCCTCGAGGCCTGCTCGCCAAGAGCGCTGCTCTGGTGGCGCATTCACCAGGCCAAGCCCTGGGACGACCTTCGTCTGCTGCCGAAACCCGACTTGAAGCGCGACTGACCTCCTTGAGCTGCACGCTTGTCTTGGCAGCCTCTCTTCGGCAGCCGATATGGCACGAGCAAGACCTTCATGTGCAGCCTGGCATCCGAAACTGTGAGCGCCACTATGTGAAAGCCCTGAGCGGCCTCGAGGCCATAGCCGACACGAATGATGAGGCCACCAAGCAGCAAAGCCTGCAGATCATGCTGCTAAAGGCTCTGACGACATCTTGAGGTCCCATTTTTTCTGACTTCCCGAGCTGAGTACCAGGATGTCTTCTCCCAGTGGCTGCCACTGCTCGTAGGATCGCGGCGCCAACTGTCAGAAAGGGCACAGAACGAACCACTGCTGGAAACTGGACTTTTAGGTTTCAATTGGGATTTGGATCTTGGCGGCTTCCGGGTGCTACAGTGAGGTTTGTGGGCTGCAGACCTTGAGGCTTTATGATACATTAGGGCTATGCGGCTTGAGGTTTGAAGGCTTCCGGGGTTTGCAGCATATACGAACACTGGCCCAGGATAGCTAAGACTTTCAGATTATGAAGTTTTTGGGGTGTCGCACACGAGGTTACAAGAGTACCAGGGTCTGCGGCTCAAGGAATAGAATAGCAGACTTGGCGTGACTTGGCAAAGGGTTTCAGCTCTTAAGCTATTCCCTTGGACACTCCGCGCATGCTCGGCAGCTGCTGGCCTCCAGTATTGCTGCAAGAATTGGAGCCTGACACGTTGACGTGACGAAAAACCGCACATTGCCACAATTTGTGAGTTTTGGCCAGGCCTGAAAGCCAACAGATGCCGAAAATGACATGTCACCCGATCCTGGAACAGCCTCGGAAAGTGGCGACAATCCAGGTAGCAGAACGAGTCGGCAACAGGCGAATGAGGCTCCGACGCTTAAAGGAGCGATGGATTCCTTGCGCACCGAGCCCTCGCAGGATTGGAGAAACACACATCCTACTGCTGTGCCTTTCGCTACAATCCTTGTAGACTCGAAGGCCTGCGAGGGATTGGCCCGGATGGTCGTGGTTGACGCCATGCGAAAGCCCTGAGACCGTCGGACAGGGCTGTGCAACTTGAGTGGAAGCACTGCCTAGACGGAGCTTCGTTATCCAAGAGGGCTGGCTGATAGCACAGCGAGGAGCTTAACCAGCACGCTGCCCGACAAATCTTCAACAGCATCAACATCTGTTTCCGCCTGCTGCTGCACCTCCACATCGATGTTTGCTGCAACGGAGTCTAGGACGGTCTTTGTCTCGGCATCCTGCGCGAACGAGCTCTTGGAGACTTCTGCGCGCTCTGCAGCACTGCTGTGTTTTTCTTTCATTTTTCTGCATGGCGTGACCGGGTCCCAAAAAACGCGGTGAGTCTCGTATGTGGCAGTGGCAGAATGCCTGTCTGCCGAACTGTTGCGTTATCCCAGCGAGCTGCCTTGATGTTGAAGACAACATATGCAGGACCGACGGAGATGTCGGATGCAAAGGTGAAGCGGACCTGTCGTGCTTTGAATCAAGCATGCAGCTTGCACGAAGATGTGCGCCTAGGACCTAGGCGGAAATTCCAGCTAGTGACCACCAGCATCATTATGCCCTAGTTTGCCACCTCGGCAGATGTCGAGGTCATCGTGATCATCTGGGATGCCTGCAAATTGCTGTGTTTTGGACTCGGCATCCTACTGCGGCAGCCCATATGGGCCAACGGATGTGAGCTTCCGGTGGCCTCGTCTAGGAGTCGAAGGTTCTGCACCTTGACGGCTTCCACCAGAAAAGGACGAGATGAGTCGCCTTTGACAGCCTCACAGGATGTCTCTAGTAGGACTGATCTCAGTGTCATGCCTTGGCCACAACAAAAGCTTGTATCAAGAGGATGCAGAATGCAGATGTCAAGGTGCACTCCGGGGGCCTGGACCGACACACCCATGCGGCAAACATCCATGAAGCGCAGGATCTGGCAAGTCCAACTTTGCATGTACAAGACTCTGTGACGATCCGTCATCACTGGCCAAGGATGCCCTTGGCAGCAGAGGTTTTCCATACCTGAGCTGCCAGATTGGTAGCGCTCAGTGGCAGCCCCTCGTTGCCTCCAAGGGCCCCGGGCACGAGCTGGGAGGTCTGCACGGAGGACTCGGCCGAGCCCCAGGACCAAAATCCACCTTCCTGGCAGAAATCCAACTGGCAAGATCTCCAAAAATGACACCCCCCCTCGTCAGGGCCTCATGTGACACGGCGACAACTCGAATCACGTACGTGGACAAGTCCTGTGGCAGCCTGAGAAGCTCAAATCGTTCCGGATGTGTGCGGTGAAATTTTCTGCGGCATTCTGGTCGTCTGATGTCTGGGCATAGGACCGAACTCTTGTCCTCCAGGAATTCACACCAGGTTCCTGATGGCATTACGGCGTCTCAAGGACGAAGTTGAAAGTACAATGTGTAGGGATCCTTCCGAATCCTTCCTTGGATGCAATCTGCCTTTTGAGCGGCCGATCTGAGAGCCACACAAGCAACGCCCGATTCAGGGCGACCAACTTGGCCTCAGACAACGTAAACCTTTCCCATGCCGATTCCTAGATTCTGCTATGGGGTCGTCACGAATCGCTTGCGGAGCACCACCTGCTTTCCAGCGCCCTGCGGTCATAGGTCAAGGCTGATCGACTCTGATTGCGCAGGCGGATGCATCAGTGCTGCAGTTTTGTTGAAAATAGGGCAATCCTCGGCAGTGGCCCCTGAAGCTTCCGATGTCGCCGCTTCTGCGTCGTATGCATCGTCGCCCTCCAAAGCCTTTGCCCCCTGAGCTACATCTGAGGCTCTACGAATGTATCACGGGATCATTGACGGTTTGAGGTCTGTGCAGCGGGAACCGGGGCGCTCTCCATTAGAGCCATCGGCGCCACCATGCCTTTTGCCTCAATCGTCCACGAAAAATCGCTTCTTGAGCTAAAGATGCCTTCTTTGGCAGGTACTGTCGATCTGCATATGGATGGCGCAAGTAGCCAGGCACACAGAAAATCAGAAGTGAATGATGCTCTGCCTGCTCTTCCTACGGTCGGACAGCTTCGGGAAGCTCTGCATCGTATTCTCGGGACGTGGCCATCATCAAAGGCCCACCGGCGTTCCTATAAGCGAACTCTTCAACCTGGAAAGAACTTGGCCAGAGATGGGTTGAGACTTGAGACGTTGTCTGGGCAGGTTGGCGAATCCTGGTACAGTTTTCGTTCCCAAGTCCCGAGCCATGGGGGGATGGGGGAACTCGGTCAACTCCTGACCACGGTTCAAGCAGCGTGAAGCCACGCAGACTGCTCGAGCATTCGATGCAACAGGCTCCGCTTCGTACTTTGCCGATAAAAGCACCCAACGGAGCCAACGTGTGCAAACTTATGCGCGCGCCTGTCCCCACCGTTCCAGGTAGTCATCAACATCGAGCTCTGACTGATCCTTCGAAGCTGCCATCGCTTTAAAGAGTCACCGCAGTGCTCCGCAAGATGCGCCCAAGTATACTTCGAGACCGCAGATGTCCGTGCGGCGCAAGGAGAACGGCCAGCTCAGGAAGCCCACCTGGCGATTCGGACTGCGCCCTTTGCCTCTTGCCTGGCTCACACTCAGTTTGCGTAGATCGCAGCAATACTCGCCAACTGCACCCATGGGTTCTCCTCGAGTCGCTGTCGGATTATCTTGGTGGCCTGATCAAGATCTGCAAGAGGATGATCAGTCTTTAGGAATGTCTGCGCCTTACCCACGACCATTTGCCTACCATCAGCTTCGTGACACTGCACGAACGGATTCGAACACCGGCTTTGCACATATCCCAGATATGTCATGGAGTGCGAGAGGCAGTCCGGAAGCACCCCAGGGAAAGCCTTCTGAAGCGCATCTCCGGAAGAGATGCCATCCAAGGAAGTCACGACATGCCACCTCGGCCGCTCTTGAACCTTACGATCCGTTATGTCATGAGATGCATGTCAAGCCTTCGTCCTGCCGGACCCTCCACATCAGTTGCCGGTCACACGTGACAAACATGTAAGTACCCAGTCAGCCACAAGCAGCTTAGCTCTCGACGTTGGCCCCCGCGCTTCGATTTCGTTGGGTTCAAAGGCCTGCCCAAGGCTGTTGCGGAGTTTAGGGATGTCTCTTGTTCGTACGAAGGATAGAGTTGCATAAGCAGCACCCTCGGAAACTTGCAGACATCGGATGGAGTACATTCCTGACTGACGATTCTTACATGGTGTACCTCATACTTCTTCCCCGGTAAAGTGCGGAGAAATCAGTCATCAACCTCTCATAGCAAAGCAGTTCGTTTTCTCCCGGGCCTTCAAGGGATCCTGCAGCTTCGACGGGCGCAGGTCCAGCCAAGCCTGGTTTCCAAGAGCTCCCGGCGCTTGAGACTTTGGATTGCATATCCTCCGCCTTGTCGACCACCATCACCGCCACCTCTGCCTGCCCTCGCTGGTCGACTTGAACCTGACGAACTAAGAAAGTCTACTGCAGCTATCCGGGTGATCTACATAAATTGGATCTGGCCTCGATCTCAATGTCGCTGCCGGGAGCTGTGCTGGCAGCTTGTGGGGTCACCTGAACCTGAGAGTCATCCCGCGATATCCCGCGTCACAAAAAGTTTGCAATGAAAGGAGCAAGCGATGCCTTCAGGGAGTTGCGGGGTCGGGATATGTTGAACTTCACCTGCACGTCAAACGCGGACAAACAACTGCTGCCTCAGCTGATTCGGCTGCGAGTGCCTCCTGAAGTGCCCATATTGGCGCAGCCTGCTCAACGCTCAGAACTTAAATTAGCCTAGGAGTTAGCCTAGTGTAGAACATGTTGGCAGCCGCAAAACGCAAATCAACGTGTGCAGTGTGAGAATTGCAAAGCATGCCTTGGGATAGTGAATAGAGCGAGGAACGTGCTCCAAGACTGTGCTCGGATCTTCCGTGCTGCAAACGAAGACGTAAGCCTTGCAGGAAGGATCAAGGCTTAGGATGGCTTCGGCAGTCTTAGACAAAACTGGTAATGCTTAACACCTTACACACGGAAAGATCACACAAGACGTCATGCCTGGCACAGACGCATGGGGCAATCCTGATCCAAAACCGTGCCAAGTGACACCTCAGCAGCACAGATGAGTTCGGCAATTCTCGTGTCACAATTCGATCTTCGTAGACAGCACGAGCTCTCACGACCCTTTCGCCCTGTGATCGCTAAGAAAAGCACCTTGCGATAGCGAGTCACATTCTCGACATCGACAACCTTATTACTCAGGCATACTCAGGCAAAGCTGCTTGACACTTTGTGTTTGAACAACTCCCTGGACAAGGCTCCGGCAGTATCTAATATACATACTCTGCAATCCAAACATACACGCTCCTACTGAATGGTTTGACTGCCATAGACACATACTTAACGCAAACATGACAGGAGCATCTAAGAGATGATGTTGCTTAAGGCAGCTTTGGAACGCTCGGAGGAATGTCCACTGGTCTCCTACCCGTTCCCTGGTTCCACTGCATTCGAGGAGGGCCGCAAAGGACATTCATGACATTGCATGCGAACATCACGAACCCCAGGAGGCCCTGCCTGGAACGCGGTAGATGCCCGTCTTTACAGCTACGGCAGACGTGACAGCGATATGAGTCGAGTCACAGGTCACACTAGTCACTAGCCAAAAGTGGCCACGAGTTAAGACTAGCTCGCGCAGGAAATGAATGCGCAAAGTGACGCAACCGCATGAACTTTGCCTAATCTTGCATCGCTGCGCTAAATGTCCATGGTGCCTTTTTGCATCTTTCGAAGACCGTTCGCGCTCTACAAGCTGTAATGAGCCAATTAGCTGCTCTTCAGAACCGTTCCGTTACCGCATCTCTCCAAGCTAGGGGCAGCGGGCTGTTCGCCCCAGAAGATGAGAAGTCGTGACTTCACGAACAAGGGATTCCACACCTGCTGGATGCTCATGTGCAGACAGCCTTAACCTCGACGCAGGCCTAGCATACGAGTGAGAGAAAAACAATGGGATTGTCTTGAGTGACGTGCAAACCTAGCGTTGCAGTGCGGCAGCACAAGGCGAGGCGTCAATAAATAATCTGAGCTGGCCTCCAAATGTATGGTCTCACCGATTTCGTACGAAGACTTCTCTGGCTTCACCTACCGATCCAGCAACTGCCAACTACATCCAGGAAACTCGACATAATCTGCTGGCTGTTGTCTGGAAGAGCGTCTGCGCCTCGAAGCGATCGAACACGTTGGGCGAGCCCACTGGCCGGCGCCTGCCCCACCAGCTCGCGCTAGTCACTGCCAAGAGTGTGGAAGCGCTCCCCCGTCGCATGGAAGAACTCGACTCAAGACCACTGCTGCGCCTCCAATCCCTGCTTGTCTGCCCGATGAAAGTGCAGCCGTAGATGAGCTCCTGAAGCTAGAGTTTAGTTTCAGGGATGCCCATACATAAGAATCGAAAACCCGTACCCACTAGCATGCGCAGTGTATACATCGCCCTGACTACCCCGTGAACGGAGGACTGCGGTTGCATCTAGTGCAAGCTTAAATCATTGCTCTACAAATCAACACATGAAGCAACGAGGTCGAGATGCCAAGACGCTCTGCCACGCATGAGCGAACTGTGGTACCAGGAACTGCGAGGAATGGTGCTCTGTCACGGGTTCAGCCATCGATACCAAGACTTAAAACGAAAGTGCAGACGACTCAGGATCTATAGGCACATGCTCATTAAGGACAATTAAGGATCAACCAATCGGGTCCAGGCCGGCTTCGCCACGCCTGCAGAGAAGAGCGACACACTTGCAGTCTGAAAGAGCCCCAGCATTTCGATGTCTGGACTCTGAACGCATGCTACACATACGGCTTGATCGTCACCTTTCCACGAGACCGATGTCCTATCGGATGCTGCGTAGGCCCGCGCGGGCTCAGACCGTATCCTCAGCCCTGCACACATCAATCTTGGCGACGAGGACGTACTTCTCAGCTGCCGGCATCCTCGATGCCGAGCCACAAGGAACCGAACACAGCTCTAAACATCTCATGCTCACAAAACTTCGTGAACGACAGAACCAAAGGGCGCCTGAACTGGCAAGCCACCGGGGACTTCAAGGAGATCTGGTGCTGACAAACCCTGGCAACTGCCGGTATCAGACTCATTCACGACCCTACCATCAGTTCAGTATCAGTTCTGAGCTTTGTGATTATTACGGTGTAGATAACAGCTTTTTTTGCGATGCCGCGAAGTTAGATCTACTCAGCTCTTTGGCTTCTTGGAAATCTTATCGTTTGAAGGTGAAACATCGAGGTTACCTGGTTGAAGATCTCGGCTACGGTGCTAGCCCCAGGCTCACGTTATCCGCAAAGTCGAAACCTGACTGGACCGGACCTCGATTGGGATTAAAGGATAATGGGTTCGGAGCCGGCTGCCACCGAACAACCTCAACCTTACCTGTGGCTCCAGAAGCTTGAAGCTCGGAATTCATCACCTGTTGAGCAGAGAAAGCAGTTTGGTTGCGTATCCGCCGCTCCACTTCGCTTGCCGTGGCGGTGCTGTCGCATCGAATGCCAACATCGAGGTCAACTGCCTCCCATGGCTTACGAAGCAGCCTGCGACCGTCGTCATCATCATCGTCATCGTCATCGTCAAGAGCCCAGTCCGGAAATCTCAAGGCAGCCATGGACGGGCTTACCCTGGCAACTCTTGCGACAGTTCTCCGAACGACCTGCTTAAGCAAGCGGCTTTGCCTGAAGGGCACTGCGTTGAAGACGTTCAGCCCGAGATTGACGACGACCACGTAGTAGAGGCCGAGGCCTGGAGCACCTGGAAGCAAAGGGCCTGGCAAGGTCGGCGACGCGTTGTAGGCGGGAGGAGCAGCGGGAGCGTCCAGGCCGAAGGCCAGGCCGAAGCCCAGGGCAAAAGCGGAGGAGAGGCCCACTCCAACCCCGACGCCCACGTCCCTTGCATATCGCTTCGTTTCATGTCTTTCGATGAGACCCTGACCCAAGCTCCGAAGAGCCACTCCGCAAGTTCTGCAGCTCCACGCCTCCTCGTCTTCGCAATCGGAACAGTGGCATGCGTCGTCGTTGACATTACGTTGCCAGATTATGCAGCCGTCATTGCAGCGGAAAGTCTCTTGAGCATGTGGCGGCTGTGGCGGCTTGGCATGCTGCTCGCTCGGCTGCCTACCGGCACCACTATGCACAATGCACTGCAGTACTTCGCCACGGCCGCAAGCCAGGCATTGAGCGGAGTAAAGCGACGCCGGTTGTCCGACAACTTCGCCAGGAAGCGGCTTTGCCCGGCGAGAATAGAAGAAGAGGGCCCAAACCAGTAAAGAGGCGAGCACCAACGGTGCCAGGCAGCGGATGGGCCAATGCGACCGCAGCATTCTTCGCAGCCTGCCCGTTTCCGGAGCCTCCGAGACCGCGTTCTCGCTGCTCTCTCCGCTGCTGTCGCCGTCCATCAGTTCGCCAGTTATACCAAAAGTTGCAAAAGTTTTGGAGCCAATTAGAGCTTCGCGGTTCTGTGACTGGGCTCGTGGCATGTGATGGACAAGACACTGCGAAACCAGAAGGGTGCCACTCCCGCGAAGGCCTTTCATCCACAAACCTCTCGGGTGCCAAGGCCTCGTAATCTCGGAAGCAGTGTTTTCTTGCTCGACCTTCGGAGGTGTTCAAAGGGGGCCTCTGAGTAGCCGGCTTGCTTCTGCTCTTGGGCGTGCACCCAGGCCTGGCATAGTATGGCGGGTTCGGATGGCGAAGCCAATCAGATTTCGTCCCCAAAGCTCCAAAAGCGTGCAGAGGTGTGCCATGCAACTGCCTCAGGCAGCGGCATACACGGATTTCCCAATGCCACTGTGTGTGGAAGCTAGGAGAACCACGCTTTTGTAAAGCACTCAACCCCGAGAAAAGAGAGGCAACTACAGCACACTCACCATCAATATTTTTTCTGCGGTGCGCGCTTTCGCCTAACTGGCTTGTCGAACCTCGTGCCGAAAAAGTGTGCATTCTGCTGTGCCGCTTCCATACACATACAAGTCGGCAACCATAGTTCACAAACGCATGCACCACGTGCATGCGAACATGTCTCGGATTGTTTTAAAACAAAGGCCCCCACCTTCCCTCCACAAACGGCCTTTGAATTGTACAAATTATGCCCATGTGCATCTGTATAGCTTCCTGAACAAGTTCGGGCTAACGGTGTGCGCAACTACGGGCTACAAAAAAGGAGCGTGCTTCGCAACCAGATGCCAGTGAGCTGACAGACAAAGCTTGATTGGCACACTGGGCATACTTTTCGAGAATTGCCACTTCATGACACATTTCCTGAACGTCGTGCAGCTTTTGCGCGGCTTGTTGTTGAGGACGTTAGCCTTGAAACTGAAGGGGTACTTGCGAAGAATGCGATCCACTGTAAGTCGGGAATATCCGCGTCTGACCAATTTGTCTGCAAAGAAACTGAGCTGAGCGGTATATGAGTCCTTGTACTTGTTGGTACGTAGCAAACGAACGGCTTCAGTTCTGACAATGGAGTCAAGCACAGTCGGATGGTGAGAACTGTTAGTCGGCAGGTACCCATAGATGTACAATGGTTTTCGAAATGTTTGGTATCGTACTTCAGCCGTCGGACTTCCAGCATCCAGGATTTCGAGGTTCAAATCCAAGAAGTTTGTAGTGGTCGAAAGACAGATCGGCTCGGTGCTGATACTGGGGTTCCATGTGTTGAGAGCATCCGCAATCGACGAAGATGAAGTCATGTTCGAAGCAACACAGAGCAGGCCGTCGTCGATGTAGCGAAAATACTGCTTACAACAGGAATGTAATTCGTCCATCAGGTAAACATCAAAGGCGTTGAGGTAAACGTTAGCAATTTCACTGGCTGCGTGCATACCTGTGTTGAGCCCCTGCTTGGAATCGTAGAACTCACCGTCATATTCCACGCACTGGTTTTGTAATATGCAATGCAACAACGCATCCAGGAGGAACGCGAGGCATGGATTATGTTGATAGTGGCGCCAAATGCTAGCTGAAACAACCGTGTACATATCCAAAGACTTCTGACTGTGTTCCACCGGCCAGATTTGCAGACTGGGATAAAGTGCTTTAATGTCAAACGACACGAACATATCGTCACGGGCAGGCTTGTAGTTGTCGGCCCAATTGACGACATGCGCACTTGAAGGTATGACGTGTTTGCACTTGTGTACAACCGGCTGCAAATAGACGCCCAGGAAGATGCCAGCGTTGCATAGACAGAATTTGGCATTGTTGCAAATCGGTCTGGAATCGATGGGATTTTTGTGAATCTTCACGTTGACTCTGAACCTCGGAGCGCTGTTGTAATTCAGGTTGTCCAAGAGAGAGCGCGCCTGCTGTCGGGAAATAGCCTGTGCTGCTAAAGCTTGCGAGGTCATCTGTGAAAGTCGGCTCTTAGCAAGCTGCAACCTGTCATGGAAAACATCATGTGGAACCACTTGCATCGATTTCCTGAGCCATTTTCTACACTGACCGTCCAACCAACGACTGCATACTATGGCATTGCCGAGGTTCTTGTCGGTATCCACAATTTTGTACGAATGTTTATATTCTTGCAGCCATCTCAAAGCTTTGCGGTCCAAAAGAGTCATGTTCGTGCTGTAATGTCGATGTTCGGGCCACTGCTTCACAAACTCCTTCGCTGTGAGAAATTCGTAAGCCTGCAAATCGGATTTCAGACATGCTGTGAGTGGTGGCTCCCAGGCTTTGTTTGACAAACAAGTACGTGATTGAACTCGATATCGCTGTTGAGCTTCTCGTTGAAAATAGCATGACAATCAGACCGACCGCAGAAATGACTGAAAAGACTTGAGGGCATGCTGTACACAATGGGGCCGTGAGGTGGGAATGAATTTGGAACTCTTCGCTGCAAGGTTATGTACAAAAGGCGGGATGAGGCTTCGATCAACGTTGACATAATGTACATGGTCCAAACAAGGCCTGGCAAGAAGGTCTTTCAAAACTCTCCGACCTGACTGTACAAGGACGAACTTGCAATAATCGATGGTGCCATCTTTGTGCCAGTAAGAATGTCGCCTAGGCCGGTGCTTATTACCACCAGCCGTGAACCGTTTCACTTTCTGCGCTGATGCTTGCCCTTGCCTTTGCCACGACCTTTGTCCTTGGAATTGATGGTGGGTGTCTTTGTCCTTCTTCCGCTGGAACTTCGTTGATTCTGAATGTCTCGGCTTCGGCCCCGAGACTGGCCTCTGCCGTTTTTTGGCTTTGACCTAGAAGCTCCACTGCGCCTAGAACTTCTTGAACCATTGCTCCGTCGGGAGTTGGATTGACCAGATCTTCTCGATGGAGTCTTCGAGCTACGCCTGGATGTGTGAGACGCCACCCTGGAGGTTGATCTAGATGTGCGGGCACGATCGTCTGTGTGAACACGTCCTCTTGAACCTCTGTTGTCCTTGATTTGTATGTTGTACATCTTGGCAATGGGCTCGAACTGATTCAAGATACTTCCTAACGCTGAGTTCTTGTGAACTGTGATTGGCTTGCCACGTTTGAGCTTGTCTGATCCATCTTGTTGCTTCTTGACACCCTGCGCCTCGAGAGTCAGAGCCGCGAAAAGTGCCCGAGCATCCATGGACTCATAGCTGGCCTGTGCTTTATCGAGTTCTTGTTGTCTCTTCTGTTGCTTGGCCTTCATGCTCGCAGTTTTCTCACTCCAAAAGCTCATCGAACTTCGGGTTTTAAGCTCGGTCCATACCAAAGCTTTGTCGGTGAGCCGCTTGACCGCATCAGAAGAATAATAACCTTTGAGCTGCTCGGTGTGCTCAGCAATCTTCGCGATAGCTTCTTGCTTGAAATATTGTTGCGTCGTGGTATGCTCAAGGTGCTGCAAGAACTGAGACTGATGCTGCTTCACAAACAGCCAACACTCTTTTGCATGTCTCTGTCGCATAGAACGCCAAGCGTGCTCCAAATCATACGCCCGCATTGGTGCATCACCTTGCTCTGTACTTGATCTTTCCAATTCAGACGGCGTCGCTACTGCTTTGTACTCTTTGGCAAACTGCCATTCCCTGCCGCCCTCAACAGCGAAATCATGGTGTACAGAACCTGCAGCATCGATACTGTCATATTTGGATTTGAGGTTTCTCTGGTGGAAAAGCCGCTCAATGCGGCGATCCCAATCCTTGGATAACTGACGCATGATGTTTTGCACTCTCGGGTCCAACGTGTTGAACACTTTGTCGGGGTTGTCGTCCTGTGGCACATTGTCCGTTCTTTGACGAACTTCCCGCGCATCTCGAGCTCGCAAAGAGTCGTGCAATGTTTGAGTGAAGTCGGATTGCAAACGATGCTGTTGTTGGCTCATTTCTGACAACAACTGCTGAAAACTCTCGTTTTGCTGCCACAATAACGGCTGCATCATAGCCTGCATCTGTTGATGTTGCTGTTGCTGCAGTACGTCGGCGGCTGTTGTGAAGCTTCCTTGGGCACCTAGCTGCGCAGGAACGGCCCCCGCCCGAGCTCCAGCAGGGCCCTGGAGAAATGGCCCACCACGATTTTCCATGGCAAATGCGGGGGAATGCTTTGAAGGTTGTCAACAAAGACCGCGCTTTTGTAAAGCACTCAATCCCGAGAAAAGAGAGGCAACTACAGCACACTCACCGTCAAGATTTTTTCTGCGGTGAGTGCTTTCGCCTAACTGGCTTGTCGAACCTCGTGCCGAAAAAGTGTGCATTGTGATGTGCCGCTTCCATACACATACAAGTCAGCAACCATAGTTCACAAACGCATGCACCACGTGCATGCGAACATGTCTCGGATTGCTTTAAAACAAGTTAAAACAATCTGTCACCCGGAGCCAAGCGGCCACCGTTCGGCGCCGTCTCCCCGTCCTCTGCGGAAACCGGCACCAGGAAGACTTTCGCAGCCTCGGAACTGACCACTTTGGGAGTCAGCGGGGCGGCAGCGGCCACTAGGCGCGGAGCATCTGGGCCTGTTGCGATGCTCCAGCCCTCGTCAGGAAAGGCGGCCTCATTTGCAGGTCTGGCGCTTCGCATCAGCTTCCGTGACAGAACTGAATCCAAAGCCTTCAACTCCACCCAGGCCGTGAAGTCTTGTCCTGTGGGGCATCTGCAGATCTGATGCACCGTAGACATTCGGTCACACAGCATCAGATGCTGCCTGGAAGGGGCCCCTGGGCGCCACCAACGCCTGCCGATGTCCTCAAGCAAATCGACAACGGCGACAAAACTGCGAGACCGACTGCAGGGTGGCTACCGCTCTGGTAACGTAATCGCTCCTGATGTCCACCTCGTATGGACTCAGGCGGACCGGTAGCTTCTGCGACCTGACTTAAGACAGGAATGCCTCAGCATGCCTCAGCCCTTTTCGTATACTGAGAGCAAACACTGTACCAGAAGCTCACCTGTTGGTCCGCGTGTGGAGGCCTGCGAGGGACCCAATGCAAATCATGCGGAACACAGGTTTCAAGAGTTGGGATGGGGCGTCTTCTGGCCTTCACAGTCAGCTCGTCTCCCAACTTCGGGATCCAAGATACTTCACCTCACCGGCAAACCGGGAGAGAAAGTCATCTAGCTGGAGCGCACATGGATGCACCATCAGGCACAAGACCCTGAGAGCTGCACGCTGTGGGCCAAACATCACATCCTGCACATATTTGGGACGCTTGCATTCACAGAAACAAAAGGCCTGTGCTGCTTAATTTCGGCTCTTGTGCTATTCATTGTTATTCTTCTTCATCACGTCCTGAGACCACAGGCCAGATGCGTTGGTCGATCTGGCAAACTCCGTGCTCTCTTCTTCTCCCCGATCCTGCACGAGCTGTTGGTGGCTCACGAGCTTCTTGCGTGCTTTAGCGGCTTTGGCATCACCTTCAAATTTCGTTGTCTCATGTGAAAACTACTCTGGTTCACCAAGGCTCACCAGAAAGTCGCCAAATTTCGTATTGAGCGGACACTGTGCAGGAGGCCTCGGCTTGTGACATCTCCGGAGCCGGCAGCGGCTGCCTCAGGGGCACCCTTACGAGGCCTTATGGGCGTCAACTGTGGGTTGTTGACATGTTGTTGACTGTCGCAGTGGCAGACGAAGGTTCACATGTAGCCTAAGATGCGCGTAAGGCCGCTGCAACGTGTTCTCCACTGTCTTTGAAATCTCGATCTGGCATGAAAGTAGAAGACTGTCAAGTCAGGCTTGCGGCTTGCACGCGCAAGCCGCATGCCACAGACCGCAGCTGCCTTGACATCATGATTCTGCAGAGGAATGCCTGTGTAGGTTTCGAGCCTCGGTGAGATCTCGGAAGCATGGCCGCGCGAGCACGACTGTGGCCAAGCACCAGGCAAAAGCGCAACTCGCAAGGGCTGCCCCGGCTGCAAGAAGGCAGGAAAGTGCTTGAACTTGATGAAGGCCTTAGATTGGAGAAACAGACCTATTCAACTTGTCACCCAGAGGATTTGCCACTGGAGCCGTTTTGAACACTGCGCGACATGAAGCTCCATGACAGGAGGGAGGATGCAGTTGCCCGTCGCCGGTGCTTCCATTCCAAGACGGTCAGCGAAAATCTGGCGCACAGATGCTCTGCCCGCAACGCTGCGCTTGGTCTCCTTTTGACCACAGCCTTCGGGCCTATGTACTGAGTCAGCCTTGGCTGAAAGAAACCCCGGCACTGCAATGATGCGGCTTTCGGCAGACGTGCGAAATCACCCTTGCCATGGTTCAATCGGCGCTCCCGGGAAAGATCGTCTCCTTTTCTTCGCCTTGCCAAGGCCCAATCCCAAGCTCGTCAGCCAGATCCTGCCTTTTCGACAGCAGGTCAGGTCAGTGTCCTTCCTTCAAATCCCCCCAGCCTAGGAGGCATCTGACATTGGCACAACGCGCATACGAAACCTTTCGCATCAAGTTTCGTCGTGCAGATATGGGAATGCCTTGTAGTCAGTTGGCACGATGTACCCTCCATTTCTCTTTTCTGAAAAGTGTCTGAAACAAAAGTGACAAAGATGGGCTGGATTCAAAGGACATCTCGATGAATCAAGCACCACCCACGACGCGAAGCTCGAAAGGCAAGCAACACAACGCCGGCGGTGATACTGTCGCATCCAGATTAAACAGGGGTAGCCTTCGCGAAAGGGGCAGTCTCTCGTCCCATTGATCAGCCGCGCGCCTGTGAAGTACATATGATGCTCGATGTCGCCCTGTCGTATGAAGCAGCATGGCTGCCCGAATGGAATTTCCAGGTCGCAGATTCGTGTAGACATCGACCGGGACTTCTCATCTCGCAAGGCAAAGTCGAGGTTGCGCAGCCAGTCAACCAGTTCCACCGAATAGTCAAGCGCGGACGACTGCCTTCTGTCGACATAGAAGAAGCCGTCAATATATATGCAAGCCGAGGCCCTCCTGGTTGGCCCATCAAACATTAAGTCCCCCACGAAATAAAAGGCATCCCTCAGGTCTTCCAGTGTTTGGCTGGCGAGGACATCAAACTCCTGATCTCTGGAACCCTTGGAGTTTTGAAGCAAGACGGTGACCACGACATCTTCAGGGCTGATCTTGGACTCTTCTGGAACGCTGAAATCGAAAGGCTCGCTGCTGTTAAACTTCCGCTGAATCTTAGAAGGCCTGCCAGAGAGCTGTTCCGCAATCCTCTTTGTGCAATGTCTATGAGGATCGCTACATACTGCGTTCTCTGTCACCGGCACCTCCTTGCTACCCAAGTACCACGGGCCGAGGTCTTGTCGTCTCAGCAGCGCTTCAGTCTCTGTGAAAGACCTCCAAATAGTTCCACCAGCATTCGACACGTCAAGCGCCTGTGTGGAGTTGGTCTCAATGTCGACGTCTTGGAAACCATCACGGTTAGAAAGCCGCTTGACGAGTGCCCAGGCTTTCCTACTCCACGCGACAACGTCGCCGTCCTCACAGACGCGAGAGAACTCTTCTTCACACGCACTGTCGGAATCGTTCGAAGCTGAGGATCTGCTGGGACACGTGGCCATTCAGTCTGCGCGACAAGACAGCATTAGTCTTCGCAGAGATAGCGCGACGGCTAGCTATTGTCGTGCTGAAGGGGTCCGGGTTCTCGTCTGTTCCGCTGGGACTACAATGGCCTCAGCCGGATCTCTAAACAGGACATCGTGCATACACAACATGCAGATGCAAAGGGCCTAGTATAGCCTAGTCATACTCGGAGAACCGGACAGAGGTCAAGCACTGCGATTCGAGTCTAGGGCCTAGGGCCCAGAAAACTCAGAGTCCCACAGTTGGCGGGCGAGGGTCAGCGACGAGGACATCCTCAGATGCGGAGCACGGCAACCAAGAACAAGAGCGCCGAAGAAAAAAGAGGCTGATGTCCGTAACTTCAGTTATGCCTTCGCGAGTCAGAGGCTGCCTCGCTCACCAGTACTGGGCCGACTGCTACGAACACAGCTTTCCAAAGCAAAGCTGCAAAGGGCCGGCTTGAGCTCTCACAGCTTTTCAAGGCTCTGGCGAACGGGGTGGATCGGAGTACCGGATCTCGATAGTGGATACGATGTCGCCGCCATTCCTCGCCTCGTCCATGCAAGAAGGACAGCAGCAACAGCAATCAGCAAACATGGAACATCAAGAAGAGCATTCGTTACTTGACCACTAACTAGCACGGCAGCCTTGTCACAGTGACCACTCACCCTCGCAAACTACACACCCATGCGCAATGTATCACTTTACTTCATTTACAAGTTGGGAAGGATGCAACCACAAGGATTTACAAGGATGAGTCTTGCTTGTTCCGAGGATGCGGCAGCTGTTTAGCACCTGGACATCCAATGGAGACTCAAGTCAATGCACACACAAGTTGGGCCACCCTCCCTCCGTGATGCCTGAGGGGTCGCAGCACGTGCCCAGAACAAACTCACCGATGGCACTGGGCCTGTCGCAGGGCACGTTCGCATGTGGTACTTCTTGGTGCTATGCACGCGGCTTGACTCTGCTCGGAAGTGGATGCCCAACGTGCCAGAGACCTGGCTGTGCTGATTGCAACCTGGTCACCAAAGGATGCATTCGCGGGCCTCAGCTCGTAAGTTGCACACAACGCAGAACTGCAGGGAGCTATCGAGCTGAGACAGCGACACCGAAATGTTGGCACTGAACATGCCGAAAGGAGAGACTGGCCTTGGGTCATACGTGGGGTCAGGGCGGTAGCCCTCTTCATCAGAAGAAAGCGAGCTGTTGATTCAAGAGTGCCAAAGGCCAAAGGGTGTATGCCAGTCAGTCTCCAGAAAGCTGGGTGCGGAGCCAAAGGTGCACGGTGCAAACCTCCTTCTGATCGGGGCCGCGAGAAAGCCTCAAGCTTCGGGCTGTCAAAGGCTCGGCCACTCGGCTGCTGCTCTCTCCTAGATCTTGGAACTCGGCGCCCAGATGATCTCGGCAGCCAGCAGTGCCTCGTTTTGCGGCCATGCTGTGCATGCTCCAAACGTTCTTGACAGCACAGCTGATGGAGCACAACAATAGGAATGAAACAGCTCCGCTTTTCTCCTGCATCCATGTCTGAGTTGCAGGATATTGCAGGCAGTACCTGTTGACCTGCCTCCACAGCTACATACATCTGCACCCGAATCTGCACAAGCACGCGCTCAACGCGAGGAACGCAGGCGTTGACGCAGCAGGCAGATCCTCAATGGCCACTGCAGCATATCCTTAAAGAAACGTCATGAAAACTTCGACTTTTCGTTCTTTGGCCGGCGGGGCCGTGGCCTCTCTTGAACAGATGCGGGCCAACTGTCGCTTCTGCGGTGCAGTGGCTGCAGCCGGACATTGCAAGCTGCTCAGGCCCGGAAGGTCACGCTGCCTCACCTGTTGGACATAAGATGGTCACAAGCATCAGCTCTAAACGATGCGTTACTGAACTACTTGAAGCATCTACTTACTTAGTTCGCTGAAGGTGAGGAGAAGCCTGCGTGCAGTGATCTAGCCAAAAAATGCAAGAACTTACTGTGGATCTCTATGTAAACCATCGCGGAAAATCTCGCACCGGAGCAGAGCCTGGATGCTCCTCGACAGCTCGATCCTCACCTGTTCGCCCATGCATCAGAACCAAACACTGACCGCAGCTTCTGAAGAACGGATCGCAGCTGTTCAAGTGGCCCGTAACGCCGCGAAATTCCCCAGAACCGCTTCTGCCAAGTAGCGTCGGCCACCACGACGGTCCGTACGGCTCCGGCTTCCTGAATGTGCGACACATGAGCTACTCCGGGTCCAGGCATTCTCAAAATCTCTTGTAGGCTCGGCAACTCCGGGGATGCTTGCTTGCAGAGGTTCTACATGATTTTGAAGGGACCATGTCCGACCCTGCCGCTTCCTTTGGCTGCATGCGGCGCTTGTTCGGACTATTGCAACCTTACTAGGTGACGGAAGACGGACTGGCTGGTGTCCCGGCTGGTGTCGGTTATGCCTGTTAACCGTCGGGCCCCGGAAGTCATCCCAACTCGGACCACAACCAGGGTATGCTCATGTGCGGATGTCATGTAATCCCTGTCTCCAAGGGCTAAGTAACAATATCGAGTGTGAAATGAAGCAGGGGGCCCAAGAGCTACTGGATGGCTTGGGCCAACGAAGACTCACCCAGTATGCTGTGTAAACATAGCATGCTAGCTGGTGGTCTTTCAACATGTCGTTCTTAGAGTGCTTTTTGATGCTTCTGGATCACTGTGTCAGTGCTGATTGTGTGCAAGGGTTTTTACATGCAGTGATGTGCTTACACTTCGGTTGTGACACTGGATGCACCAGATGAGCCTTGAGACCTGTAATCTAAACAATGGCAAATGCAGCAGATCAGTAAATCTAGACATAAATCGGAAGTGTGACAAACAAAAAGAGCCAAATCACCGACGACATTACAGATCATGAGATCTGGTGCAAGTGTGTGTGCGTGTGCGCAGCTGGCTGTCCTGAGCTTTCGGCAATTTCGGGGCCCCGATTGTGCCCCGAGTACATCCGAGCACATGCAGCGCATTGCTGCTGTGATTTGAGCGGCAGTTCAGCTTGGGAAACTCGATGCAGCACAGTCAAGCCCGAAGCATCTGCACACGTCGTTTGGCCAGGTGTCGCTGCCGGCCACGGCCATTCTCTTCCGGACCCCCGCGATCCCCTCGGTCACCGCGGTGGGTGCCACGGTCCCCACCACGCTCTCCACCACGGCCGCCTCGGCTGCGACCTCAGATGATCAAAGGAGGCTCACACATTAAAACGAATGTCCTAAGGTCATCTCCGAGTCCTCGGAGCTTCAAACCAGGTGGCTCCGGCCACGCGGCCGCTCTCGGCTGCGGTGTCTCCGCTCCCGGCTGGGGCTGCGTCGGGTTGGCGTCCTTTTATGGTCTGTGACAGGCTGAAGCTGCTTAAGCGTTGATGCTCCAGTTCCAGCCTACTCCGGCCGCCCTTCGAGTTCTGCTTGGTCGCCGTCTCCTGAGCCATTTGCATGGCAAATCACGGGCCCACACAAGCACAGCAGGTCGCATCGCCCAGCCTTCTTGTGCAGATAGCTTCCGATAGCTGGGGCACGTGTGCACGCCTCCACGGGCTTACCGGCTTTGATATCTCGCAACATCTGCATGACCTCGGAGCAGGAAACCCGGCAGCTCTCAGGCTGAGGCCATGGCCTCAAGCTGAGCTCATAGCCAAGGACGAGGGCTTGTTTGAGGCTGCCAGGTGCTCACAGATCTTCCTTTGCCACAGGATGGGCATCACAACACATCGCCGAGTCAGTCAAGCCCCGGTGGAGATCTGTACCCGACTACGAGTCTAGATGCATCCAGTCTGCAAACACCAGCAGCGATGCTACTGCACAACTCCAGCAGGTGGGGATTGGGAGATTTCCTACAGTGTCCTTTGCAAGCGCTCGTTCGTGGAGCTCAGCAGTCAAGTCCTTTTATTCAGGCTCCGTGGTGACACACCCGCAAGCCCAACAAGAGATCAAAGGACATGTGGGACAGTGGATGCCAATGGCTGAGGGCGCAAAGCTCGGTCTTACTCAGCTGCACATAGCTGCACTGAGCCTACACAAGCAACCGCTCCTGACCCGAGAAAGCTATGGCTAAACTGTGGATTCTGCATTCAATCTGTGATGACAGCTTGTTGCATTCCGTTCTAGCACCTGACAGGCCTCCCAAAAAGACACCTGCGTAAGTGTTTACCAGAAAAGTTTTTGTGTTTCAGGTCTTGGCCAGCTTGTGCTAAGGTGTTTGTGCTTGCGAGCCACGGAAAGCCTTGCTCCCAGCCTTGGTGAAAAGTGGGCCTCGTGCTTGTGGCAAGTCGCCGGGTGCCCAAATGGGCGACGGCCGCTGCATTGGTTCACATTCAATTTCCTTTGGTCCGCACAGCACCCCTCAGTCCTCGTCTCACCACCATACATGGGTTGATCTACCAGGCAGAGACTGCGCTCCTCATGTGACATCTTCATGACACACTCCGCCCCGCGATGTTTCGGTTCGGAGTCTGAAGTCTGTGCGACTCTGTGCGGCTTGTCGCATTCCTTGAAACAATGCAGGTTTCGAAGCCCGGCTCTTCTCCTAGGGAGTCGCGCCTGAGGTCGGCATCTGGGTCTTCTCGGCATTCGAGCACCTCCGCCAACTTGCAGGCAGAAGGCGCGTCCAGCTTGTACTTCTTGGCCGCCTGGATCCAAGCCAAGCAGCTTGCAAGGCCAAAAAGCTCGCGATCTGCTGACTCAATCTTCGATGCTTTGAACGCAGAGTTTCTGGCCTTCTCAACTGCTGGATTGGGCGTCAGGGTGCCGCGGAACACACCCTTCTCCATCCACCGAATGGAGACCTCAGCAAGGCTGCAACAACAGTGATGTGATCGCCCAGGGCCCCAGGGCCACGGCCATCAGCAGATCTCCTCGAGACAAGCGATGGTCCCCATGACTCTGTTTTCGGCAGTTTGTGGTCCCTCGGAGACTGAAGGCGACAAGCGCTAGGCTCCTGGATTCTTGGCCCCCTTCAGGATCTCATAGAGGGATGCGATGTCCTCCTCGTAGGTGTTGTTTCGCCGCCTCAAAAGATGTAAATTGCTAGATGCAGCAAGCTGAGCTGTCGAAATCCAAGTGGCTTGAGCTGTTCGTTGAGCATTCGAGCATGTCGATCCGAGATCTTGAAGTAATGCACAAGCTCGATGACCTCCGGTTCCAGCGCCTGGGAGCCGGACTCATGGGGAACGGTCAGCATTCAATGCTACCAACCAGTTGGCTCTGCTGAAACGACATGTCCAACGAAGACGCCATGCGTGCCTCAACCTTATTCCTACAGGTCCCATGTCTGCGACACGGACTTCTGTGCAGCATTGTGCAGCCTGCCCCTCACGAGTGCTAGGCAAAAGCGAGATTGATCCAACGGAGACTGCCAAGTGGCCGTGTCTCGAGCCTTCGTCTCTTCGTACCTTCGCGCAGCAGCTGTTGTGGCTGCAAAGCTACAGAGGCAAACTCGAACCCCCAGACTGGGGTGCAGGCTCCATTGCCTGCTGCTGCGTGAGACTCACCGGCTGCCCAAGCAACCTCTTCTAAACCGATTCGTCGATTGGTACGAAATCCATGAACTTCTGGCTGTAGCTTCTTCGTGCCAGAGTTGCTAGAGTCCCTTCGAAGGAAACGCAGTCTGATGTTCTAGTGTGGCACTTCCCCGCATATGATCAGATGATTACTGTAACATGTGTGCAGTATTGCCGCACTTGCGAGTGCAAGCACTCGGTCACTCGGTTTGCTGTCGAGTTTCGGCGGCATCATGCCCGGTGGCAGCGGGATGGGTGGCGGCCGCACGCCAGCAAAGCCGGGGGCCAAGCCTGCTCAAAGCGAGGCTCTCTGACTTAAAGACGGTGTTCCGGCCCCATTCAGTCCCTGCAAGCCTGGCATGGGGGGCGCCCCCGGTACCGGCGGCATCTTGCCCAGGGCACTTGCGACCCCAGGCGGAATGTTGGCAGCGATGCCTCAACGGGGCAGAATTTGTGTGACGCAGGGATGCGGCCAAAGACTCAAGAACAAGTCCGAAAGCCTGGAGGGAGATTCGCAGCCACTCCTGGTGGGATTGTCGCCGCGAGGCCAGGTGGTAGGCTGCCGACACCTTGGCATCGAGAATGATCGACTTTGCCGCAGTGCTACACAAAAATAACCTGTGCATCCTTCCTCAGCTTCCTTGAGCAAATCCTATAAACTGGCCTAAACGGAAGCAGTGTTTGGTTAGAAATGGCACCCAACAGTGAGAGCCGAGCTCAAATTTGTTTTACATCTTACTGGCTACGATTATGTTGGACCTGGTCGTGCTGCTCTTTTCCTGCAAGGCCAGTGACCAAGAGATCCCAACTGTCAACCCGCTTCCAGCAGAATTTCAGCTGAAGGGCCTGGAAGGGCCCCGGGCATGCCCGGCAGCTTGGCCAAAGCCACCGACGCCACCGGCCTCGGTCAGAGCACAGCACAGGCTTTCGAGCAGCTGGGTCTGGTCCATCTCTCGCTTTTCATCCCAGCCACGCCGGTGGCGGAGGGGGCAGCGGCAACTTCGCACCGACCTGCGTGCGCAAGAAGATGCGTGTTGCAAGGCCACCCTCCAAGGGACACTCGCAGTTGCTCCCTCCCGGAAGCCGGTCTCGCCTGCACGGGCCCCTCGTTTCTGGCTCCCGGCAAGGGCGGCTGGGAGCCGTATTTCCCCTCGAGCTCCTCGATCTTCTCCTGACTCCAAATCACTGCAAGTGACTATGTCTAGTGCTGCACTCCAGGAAAAACCCTCAGTGAGCCAGGATGCGGTGATTTCGGAGGCGAGCATGTTCTGGAACTCGAAGCCTCCCTCGTCTCCATCCTGCAGCGCACTCTCGGCGGCCTGTCGACATTGCACGGGCAGTGCGAGTCTGAGAGTGGGCACATCTAGCCTCCTTGAGCTTGTCCCGATCCTCTCGGAGATGCTTCAGCTGATCCCACACCTGCAGCATGTCACACAAAATCACGCCCCTCAAAAAGATCCAAGATGAACCTGTTGCCTCCGGCGTCATTGCGGCCGTCATAGCCAAGTGACACCAAGGTTGCGCTCAGGCTCACAGCATGGGCTCCGCTCAATGTGTCACAGGTGCCTAAGTCCTGCTTCAACCGTTGGACTTGCTGCGTGTCTGCTACTGGCAACAACCATGTCAAGTAGTTGAAATCTGTCATTGGCTGCTCTTCTTTAGCGGCTTGCTCGAAACGAGGATTCACTGAGCTGTTGTTGTATGATGGGGATAGGCTGGGGCTTAGATGCTCAGAAACTTATCGGATATCTCGCTTGCACGGAATGATTCGTGCGTGAGAGACAAGGTGCCATATGAAAGAGTCTCTATGCACGCGTCGACTGACTATGTCCTAATCTCAGCTGCAGTGCTGCGCAAACAGTGGGTGTGAGCATGCTTTCTCACTGCAATCAAAAATGTATGAGCAATCATTCCTGTGGTCGCTGCAACTCAAGCTGCTTCCAAATCTTGGCTTTCGACGCTCGGCTCATTTCGCACAGCAGAGGGGGCACAAACATTGCCTTGCGGGCTCATGTGCTGCAGCAACTGTCAACTTGGCGTCTCATACACGATTCCTCTTCTGCGACCGTCCGCGCCTGGCTTTCCTCCAGGACAGATCGTGCCAACTGCAGCAACCACACCAAGCACCGCCACGGAATCTCCAGGCGCCTGGCAAATTCAGGACTTGCGTTGTCACGAAATGTCCCATCGGTAAGTCTCTTCACGTCCCGATATCTTCGAGCTCTTGCACTCCGTAAGCGCGCAACAAATCCGGTCTTTGTCAGCCAATTTGTCAGCTTAAGCTGCTGTCACCGCTTGACCCACGTACTCAGAAACCAGAAGCTTGGCATCCGTGCATACACAGCCCGGTCTGTGGCAAGCGAAACTCGGAGAGCACTGGCGAATGCTGCACCTTAGCAAACGCCAGCCGGCGGGGCCCGCTGTATGTCACACGCACTCTCTCTCACTCTGCCTGCAGCGGTGGCCGTGACAGTCAGATTATGTTCCAATGACCAAGGACTGCAAAGCATTTGCATCGCATTGCCGAGGCATCAGCGGGGAGATTCGACTTGCGGTGGCATCCTCCCGAGGCGTAGCCTCACTCGCCGAATCCATCCAAACAACAAGCAGCTTCATTTTGCTTCATTAGCCACAACAGGCGGCTGCACTCAGTGCCATGCAAGTCAGAGAGGAGAATCTCGCCACTCTTGGCGTCTTGAACAGAGACGACATAGCCCTCGCAGAATCAATGCTTGCTCGGGCTCATTCAAGCATCGCACTGCCAATGTCGCTTAAGGCACGATGTGGTTCTGTGACGACTTCTCCTAGTCGCTCCAATCCCTCTGCCTTCTTGCCGCCATATTCATGTGGCCGTTGCATCTCCTGTTCAAACTTGCCAATTGCAGTAAAGCAGCAAAACGCAAGCTCGTCTCAAGTACTGGAAGCACTCGGTTCTTCGAGGGTCGGCTGTCCTGCGGCAGCGAAGTGGCTGAGCGGCCATGAGCATCCGTCACCTCCGTCGCGATCCTGCTCTGTCGCTTTAGCGCCCGGTTGTGTTCTGAAGAAGCACTTATTCAAGGGCTCGCTCCTTTTAACAGGCGGCTGGACACTCTGACCATTCATCCAGCGCGTGCTTGGTATTTCCCAGACCGTCACCTGATCCGCAGCAGATTACAGAAGCGACATGCAGCAAATGCCATCCCCTGGAAGACACTCAATCAGCTGGTGAGGGCATCAACAGGTTCAGTCCCAAGAAACTAATCACGAGAGCACAGCAAGGCGGCGTTGGCCCTCCAGCGCCCTCTCAATTGTCAGCCCTGTTTCCACAGCACCTCAACGCTGTCTTCACTCAGGAACACGAATGCCCACAACGCACACCCTGGGCATCCCTGAGCCGTAATTCACGTCCTGAAGTCTATACCACTATCCGCTGATCAAGAGAACCTGAAATCAACTCACCATTCAAGCAGTGGCCTCCAAGCCCGGTCTTGGGCTTGCATCGTTCAGGTCGTGCACCGCTGTCAGGATCATCGCATGAGGCCTTTGACGCAGCCGGGCTTTGGCCCGCAACTGGCTACAGCAGCGAAAAGAGTAAATGCACGACTGAGACGTCGAGGGCGAGACTCCTCGCTGGCATAGGGTGCCTCTCGCGGGCTCGCAAAGGCCTCAGACAACAGGAAGGTAAGGAAAAGGACACGGCAGGAGACTCGCGAGCCGAGACACCACCGTGACCTCGAATGACGCCGCATTCAGGAAACGCGCTGTGTTTCCAGGATCTGCCGGGACAAGGCCAGAGGCGTTGAGTGCCACCACTTTACATGCAAGAAGTCGCCAAATGCGAAGGAGCTGCTGCGCATCCCACAGTGTCTCATGTCTGCATCTTGCCCCATGCAGACCAATTCGAGGAAGAGCAGCCTCAAAGACTTTGCAACGCCCAGCCGAGACGAGACATCAGCAATCCTTGCCTTGAGCGCATGAACTCCACAGGTATCTGGTTGAACTGGACATCCTTGCCACTGGCCAGAAGGACACCCGGACGGTCCTCAAGAGCAATAAGGGTTCAGTGCCCTGACATCATAACCGCAGCAGCGCAACTTAGGCAGCAGCTGCAGCTTTGGCAGCACAGGGGCCATGCTTCGACGAAGCTGCCTGGCAGAGTGGCAATAAACCAGGTCGCCAACTGACTTGAGCGTGTCTGATCACGGCCTTCTCTGGCGAGAAGTAGAAGGTAAGAAAGTCCCTGAGCACAAGACACTGGCCGTCAGTTTTTGCCTGTGTTGGGGTCAATGCTATGCACTTGGTCTGGGGTCTCCCGTAAGTCTCTACGCGGGTGGAGCGTAGTGGGGGCATTCAGAGAACGGAAGCTGCGGAGCTCAAGACTTGAGGGAAGCACACTTGCGGTGGCTTCAACAACATCATCTTACACAGACTCGCCTGGCAGCTACCTGGATCATCCCGGATCGTAACGCAACCCGATTTAGACCTTTAAGAACCACTCTGGAGTCTTTCGGCATGTTCCAACTGGATTGTGTGATTACACTCTGCACTAGTTCGTCCTCTTGATTCGTGTCCAACTTGAATTTGCAGGGTGCTGACAGTTTGCATCTGTGCGTCTCAAGGAATGCGACCATGTTGAGTACAACTCAACCAGCACTGATCACATTACAATGAATTTGCTACCACAACGGGTGGCAGCATCCGCCTCAGCTCTTCCGTTGAGGAAATCGGGCATGCAAATGCCTGCAGGCTGCAGGTTGTTGGCGAGCATTCAGGTTGTGGCCGGTGCTTGCTGTCACAAGTAAGCTGTCCATCCCACACTTGCCAAATGCCAAATGCTGCAAGTGTGGCGGAAGGTTTTTCCTCTTGGGTGTGGCTCGGCCTTTGGTTTGCCCTCATGTGTGTATGTCATGGGTGCAAGCAGTCGGCTAGTGAATGAACTCGAAGAAAGGGTGCCTGCATGGGTGAGGTTGGCTCGACATTGCCTGCAATCGGGAAAGGCACGTGCTTCCGGAACTGAAAACAACGCAGGCTACACAACTTTTCTGTCATCTCAGTACCAAGATACCATGCAATACCGTGCAAAAAATACAAAGAGGGCTCTTGCAAGGCAAGGAACCAAGCTGCTCCGGTGGATGACGCCGTGCAAGAAGGGGGAAGAACTCCTCAGCGTGAAATGACAAAAGAGATCTGACACCAGCTTGATTTCTTCGCGGGCCCTATATTCCCAGAAATTCAGGTAGCAGCAGACCTAGCCAGCACAAGCATTCTAAGTGTCCCTACCGAAAGCAGCCAGGACAGATTCGAAAGAGCGCAGCGTGACCTCTGAGCTCGTGGCCGGCAGATCGGAAGGCAGAAACCGATCAGCGACGCTCGAAGACCACAGGCCCGGATTCCGCGACTCTGGCGTTAGGAACAAGCCTGACGTGGCCCACGACTTGGGTCGTCCCTGCACCGTTCCGGTGTTCCCAACCCCAGCCTGGAAGCTGATCCATCTTCAGCGTTACATTCGAGCCTTGCAATGGCTGACCGAGGCCGTCGAGCACCTGAAGACCAGCATCCCAACTTGTCTGCGCATCGCATTCTGATAATCTCGCTTGCAGCGCTCACAAGAAACCTTGCACCCCAAAGGCTTCACCGGGTTCTGCTTAGAGCCCGGCATCGACAGAAGGTCGAACATGAACTGTGTACCTAGCAAGACTGCTAGACTGCTGGTCCGGAAGACTCTGTCTCTGCCAACATCGTCTGAAGCGGACATGCGATCGACATTCGATTTGATGCTGAGCAGTACACTCGTGCCCTGGCTGCAGGTCTAAAACCTTCGCGGTTTCGCGTCGCATTGCTTCAGGCATTAGCAAATGCTAGCCGCTAGCACTGCTATGGCCAATAGCCCTGCCTTCATTTCGAGCGTGGCCTTCTTCGCCACCTCCAGGCGATGCTGCATCACCTTTCAAGGGAAGCACAGCCACCAGCCACACTGACTCCTAGCGATTCCCACCTCTCCATCTGCCGCGGTGATGGAGATGGCGGTGTGAAGTCTATGCAGAGCATCGGCCTTCGCCACTAAACAGCCGAATGCTTCGCGTGTCTGCACTCTTCCCCGACCCTCTGGCACTATGGTCCATGCTGCAGTTCTGACTGGCCTTCAAACCGTGTCTCAAGTACAGTCGGAAAAAAACCTCAGATCGCAGCGGAGGCTGTCCACGCGGGACGTTGCTTCCCTGTAACTCGTCTCGATAACCTTCCCTGATCAATCCTTGATACCTCCCTGACTTGGCTCCCTGGAGGCCGATAGAACTTCAAATCAAAGTCTGAGCTTGAGACGTCTCTGCAACGCTGCCTTGTCCCATGGAAGAGCACTGGGACAGCTGGAACAAGAAAGAAAGGAAAATTACTCATTGCTACATATTATAAGGGCTTGCAACAGGACATGCCACGAGAAGCAGCTATTTCAACAAGACAGGGCCGTAGAAACGAGGAATCACAATCAAATCTTGCATGTTCGGACATCTCAACTTCCCAGTTGAAGATCTAACTATGTGACTTAGACCGTCTCGCCTGAAAGACCCATTCAGCAAACAAGCATGGAGCAAATGCTCACGAAATGAATTGGACACACACGCAGCCAGACCGAGATGGAATGGTGAGATGGCTGGGGATGGACAGCATCAACCCGTGAACACGTCCACCAACGACCAACATCGTTCGTCTTGACGTAGATCCACGAGCACTGAGTTTCGGAACACCCAATGCCAAGCCGCGGACGGTAAAAAATTGAATAGGAAAGGTCGAGGGCCCGTCAGCTTTAGGCCATGGTCGCCTTCCAAGAGGTCTTCCGAGGAAGTGACGGCTTTGTCGCAGCCCTGCCCCTTTTAGTCTCACGGCAGCTCTGCCTTGACGGAGTGGTCCACTATAGGGATGGTACCTTCCAGCACAGAGCACAGGCAGGGCATGGCAGAACCAAGGGCCCTTTGCCAAACCGCCCTCGGAGGCAAGCTGGCCTGGAACCTGGCCTCATTCTCACCGTGTAGGCCTGGGTGGCTCGCTGCAAACAAGCTACCGCTCGTACCTTCCACGTCGGTGCACGATCGGGATATGGTTGGGAGACCGTGTGCGCGGCTACTCCCGCCAGCCCCTCTCCCACCTTCCTAGGTTCTTGTTCAAGTTGAGAGATTGCCTGAAAAGGATTGTCGGTGACTCGACAGCAGACTACAGCAAGAGTCATCTGCCAAATTTTCGTAAGGGTCGACGTCTGCGAGTGCCAATACAAGCCGCACAATGCCGCACGTGGAAATAAACAACGATCCTCAGCAATGTGACACAGTACCAGGGTTAAGCAAAGAACAAATCCCATCGCCACGAGTGTCTGGATTCCGTGAGCAAGAACATCCACATGTCCAAGCGAATCCGACGCAGGGGTATTCCACGATGCCCATGTTCGCTTTGTCAAAGCTGAGTCATTGCGCTGTTGGGCTGTTGGGTCTTGGGATCGAGCCGCACCCTCCCCAGGAGCTTCCCCAACAGAGCATGCACTGGTTTTGGGCAGAGTTGCCTCAGGCGATTTGATCTCTTCCTAGCAGTATGACTGCCCTTAGCCTGCCCTGCCCCGACTATCACAAGCCAAAAACGTCTTCACGATGAGCTCCCAGCTCCACCTGTAGAGAGCCTCACCGGGAGGCTGAATTCCAAACCTCATGGCAGAGGGGAGGGAAATTGGAATGAAGACCTTCGTTGGATTCGAACATTCGGCACAGGCTCTCGCAGCGCAACTCGAAGGTTGCTGGTGGCTCGCCGAGCTCCAGGAATAAAGGCTTTGGTGCCTTGCATAAGCATCAGAACACTCACCTGCCAGTTAGAATGACTGTCACATTGTGGCATCACCGATTTCAGGCCTCGCCGGCACAGGGCGCAATCTCACTGACAGGAACCCCAACTCCAGAGGTGCCTTAGCCATGGGGAGGTGTGTCCCAGCCATCTGGATCATGCTTGTCGAGGTACCTTACAGTCCTTTGTTACTTATGCTCAAGCCATCCCGCTGCCAGGCACATGGGCTTTGCCAAACGCGGTGCACTACCCGTCTCCACGCATTTTCGCTTCCCGTACAGAACATACACTACATGCGCCACAGGTCTTCCCCGAGTAGGTACAACGCAAGAAAATTGAAAATTCGGCCTCAAGTCCAATTCAGCCGACCCTGAAGCCTGAAAACGCACGAGTACTACCCCGGAGCCTCATAAACGAGCCAACAACATCTGGTGATACAAATGCCGGCCGAGCTGAGCCAATGGCCATTCCACAACTGCAGCATGGATGGCTCTTTCAGGAACCTGCTCACTGGGGCAGGGATAGCTGCATTGCAAAATAGCGATTGACAGAGTCGACTCCCCAACATCCCTCGGTTTTCAGGGCGAATCCATGCGAATCCCCTCTCCCTCGATAGGAAAAGGTTTAGGTTGGGACTGCTGTCCCTGGCCTTTCGAGGACCACGGGACCACTGAAGCCCACTTGGATGCGCGAGTCGCTGGGGCACTCCTTGAGCTGTGTGACCATGTGAGTGCGTGGGATACTGTGCCATCTATGCCTACTACGCGATGCCTGAAGCCGATGTCGATTCCCCGATCAAGCTGCAGCATGCTGGGTTTGCTGCAAACGCGCCCTTTGGCTGAAAGCGAGCTGCCTGCAGCGTCACCGGTGTTCACACACGCAGAACCCACTGGAAGGCTGTACTGACGGCATCTGCTTTTTCGCAAACTGCAGATAAACCACAAAATGCAACAGCACAGCAACGCTAAGCAAGAAGGCTAAGAGGGGTGGAGCGAGTTTGATGCGATCTGGCCTCCAAGTCGGAGCTCCAGCGCCCGTCCGTTAGCTCGTTGAGCTGCTTGGATCGCACTTCCTGGACCTGTGAATACATTGATGCCATTCCAAAGGCATCTTTGAGCACCACTGCTGTCGCCACTAGCTTATAAAAAGTGTCCCTGCCAGAAGCTACTAGCAGCTACTAGCAGCATGAGTTTCAAGAGCCCCACCCAATAATCGAGAGGGCTTGTCGAGAGATGAAGCCTCGGCAAGCAGCTTGCTCAGGTCTTCACGAGGTATCCGGTTTTGGGCATCGCGCGTTTTCGGAGCTGTTCGCAACCGCTTGCCACTAACGCCTGAGGGATTGCAACCGCAGCGAAAAACCGTAAGAAAGGCTCCAGCACCTCAACTAAGCGCAGGACTCCGTAATTGCAAGTTAAAAACTACCCGGAGGGCCTGCAGCACCAAGCGCAAACTCATGCAGCTCTGCGAGAAAAGACGGCAGCTGATCCGCCAAACAAACAAGACCAGCTAAGCTAGCTGTATGATTCAAGGTACTCCTGCGGCCTCTACTCTGCAGGTGGGGCCGTCCGAAGCAACCAAGATGATTGGCCCTTGTACTGAAAGATACCTTGCATCACCCTGCAAGGCCCATTTCAGAATCACAGCTGGATGTACGGATTGCAGATATACGATCAACTTATGGGCGTCTTGCCCACGGCCTCAGCCCATTGCGATGTTTGCAATGCGCTGTCCTAGCTACGGTCAGACGCTTAGAGCGCGACGAACATAAATGTCTCTGTGCAAGATTTTGAACACCGTTGGATCAAAGGGCATGCATCCTAATAGTACTGCCGCATCTCCGGAAAGGTTTTCTTTCCTGGCGGGAACTCCAAGTCGACAATCTCTTTCCCACTCTGGAAGCCAAAGTGGTCCTGGGCTGGGGCAGCACTGCCAGCACCACTGCCATCTCGGAAATCGCGGGTCTCACCCATGGCGACCTCATCCCGAAGCACGCCTTTGTCTCCGAAGCCACGAGCGCGACTGACGCGGGTGCCTGCGGCGGCACAATCTGTCTCATCGGGAATGTGCCGGTTCGGTCCACCGAATTTCATTCTCCTGCAGGTTCCTCGCGGATCACAGGTCTCGATAAAGTGGCCAAAGACCGAAGTGGCATACTGCCCCCAGACGTCAGGCTCCAAGATGGCTCGGCTAACCGACTTGGGCACACAGTCGGCAGCCAATGCTCGCCTCTCATCCACGGGGTCGGGAAGTACGGGCGCAGAACTGAGAAGCTCGTGGCACTCCTTCTGGAAGCTCCGTTCGCGATGGTTCTGCAGCAGCTGTCGCTTCGCAGGATCCTTGGAAGCATCCACTGCAAGTTGGAACGGCGAATCCAGGTTGAAGCACACACGTTTCTCCACGCGAGGATTGAGATGTCGGAAAGCCTGGGTTGCAATTGGATTATAGATGTGCCGGTCCCAGTCCAGGTAATGGGCTCGAATTTTGGCTTCCTGCTGATCTCGGAATTCGCTGAGCTGCATGGCAGCCTCGTAGTCGGGGCCATTCGTTGTCATGACCTGGTAATGCTGCAGCAAGGCAAGGCGCTGCGAGCGGCTCTGGGGAGGGAATTTGTAGCTTGTCGGTTGGAATTCTTATCAAGTTGTTACAAATTACAAACTATTTATGGTAATCTCGGGTCTTTTCTTCCCACTAGCCTGCACCAGCCGCTTCAAGCGTGCCTCCCGCTCATCCTTGCGGCGGTCGACCATAAACTGGATGCGCCTTTGGTCACGTTCACGCAGTGCCTGTGTCTTCTTCCTTCTGGCCAACAGGCCGCGTTTTGCCTGCTGCTGCTTTTCGCTTGGCCCCCAGTTTCGCGGCTCCCATATTTCCGAGTCGGTTCCCTTTTCTGAAGAAAGCCAGCTGGGCACCGTGTGCGGGCGAGCGAGGTGGGAGCAATCGAAAGGACCATGTGTGCCGAAGTGCGTGCCATTGCTTTCGCTAGCAGCACGGAAGTGCTCCAGCACCGGATCCGAGGAAAGGCGCCGCAGGCGGCCGCCCCCTGGCTGCGGCCCCTCGCGAGGGAGGCGTTGGAAAGGAAGCTTGAAATGCCCAAGCGGAGCGTCGAGGCCCGCAGCTGTGCCCGCAGCGCCTAAGCATGGTGCGGACAGGGACCTCGTGAGACCATCCTCCGAGAACTGTGAAAGCCTGGAGTCCATGCGTTTGATCGCTCCGGGGCAAAGGATCTCTCTTTGAGCCCAAGCCCCGTCTCCAACGCAGAGCAGGTCAAATGTTGCACAGGACAAAGCACGCAACAGAAAACTGAAGTAAACAAGCTCACATCTGCTAGCCACAACACAGGCCTGCAAATCCGTCGGCCAATCCACGGACGGATCAAATCCTGGGAAGTAACAAAGCAAACTTGGAGATGTGCATGACATCGTCAAACAGTTCAGCGTGTTCAGCAGAGAGCGAGCTTGGCCCTGCACTTGCGATGCTGGAGCTCACCCATCTCAACTTCCCAGGGACTTCGGCACCCTCGCCGTGAAGTCAATTCCAGGGATGACGGCTTGACTCAGGAACAACAACTCGGCGTCTCTCGTCATCTCAAACCAGTCAAGGACAAGCCAGAGGCTGATGTAAGACTCAGCCTTTACAGGAGCTGCGTCTACCTGCCAGCACGCCCAAGCAAGGCCTCCAGAACAAAGGGCACTAGCTCCTCCCATGTCTGTTTTCGGGTAGGTGTTCCATAGTTTTTCCCAGCGAATGCCCGACAGTGACTATAGATAGCAATCTTACAGCTCCTCCGGGGGTGGCCCGTCGCCAAAATCAGCGCCCAAAGGCAGCACCTCGGAGAAAACAATTTGCGGTGGGATGTCGTAGATGTTGCTTGCTGATAGCTCGATGCTGTGCAATCTAACCTTCCGAACCACTCCGGCAATCGTGACCTCTGGAGCCGTGTGAGAAATCTTGGGCTTGCCCAACGCACTCGTCCCGAAGGCAAAGAAAAGCACCGACGGAGAAAGGCATTTTGGTCGCAACTGCTGGGGCAGCATGCGTCGCTGGTGTTGAGAATTATGCCGGCTCATGCAGTGCAACAACTGGCGGAGCTACTTTGCCAACGGCAACTCCCCAGGGCCGCAGTTCCTCGCACCAGTCCCAGGTGCACAACTATCCGCAAACCTAGGCCGCCGGCAGCAAGGCTGAAGACTGCCGTAAGCGCCTGGCACAACATGACATCAAGCAGTTGGATGCAGCCAGGACTAATTAACTATCTTATGTTCGAGCTTTAGCTTCTATGCCATGGACTTCAGCTTATAGAAGCCTCACCTAAAATGCAGCTATAGTTTACATGTCTATATCTGATCTTGCCTGGCGTCCGGTCAAGATCTTCCCATCCTGCAGCGGGGTAGATCCGGGTCTAAAGGTTCTAGACGCAACCGTGCATGTCAGCAGGTTGTTGCACATCCTCGCTGGTCAGGTTTCCACATCTGTCACAACTGCTCATGATGCTGCACTTGCGCGCGAGTCTCTCCACAGGCCTCCGGTGTAAACGAGACCAGCTCAAAGTCTGGTCTCAGCAAAAAGACAGACATCAGAATGTAAGCCCACCCGCGTACGAGACAGAACTTGGTGTGAGATGCCGACTCCAAGATGAGAGGCCCAGCCTGTGCGGGTCTGACTGACTTTGTGCATCGTTCGAGGGGTCATTTCTACAACTTCTGCGCTGAGCAGACTCGCACTCATCAGAAGTATGCGAGCGAGCAGCCAGCGCGTGACACACCAGGCAGACCAGTAAGCGAAGCATGCTTTGTACACATCGAAAGCCCCCTTCTGTTCGTGAACATCTGCTTTTTAAAGCTTGCAGCAAAAAGCATACTACAAAGATGCTGCAAATCCGACTTGCCTAAGGATCAGGCTCGAAAAAGGAGCCCGAACCGGTTTCTCAAGTCGCTTCGTTTGCCTTCTACAGCCTTTACGGTCGGCATGTGAGGTCCATGATACCCTCTGTGATCCAAAAGAAGCTGTGACGCACGGCACTCATCAACGCCTTGCTTGCCCATACATCCTCCAAACCTTGGAGCGCATGCTTTGCCATCTGTGCGGCTTTGCCGTGGAACGACCTGACACCAACCTCTGAGCCAATTATTTTCTCCGACACTTCTTGGCCGGAATTAATTGCAGTCCGCTCATCGTTCCACCTCAGAAAAGGGTGACCAAGCACCGGTCGCAATGCGGATGTCTGGGTTCTGGATTCTCAAAAAAACAGTTACTCTTGCTGGGGAATGTGCCGGGCCAGCCAGGAAGCAGGATCGGGATTGGAGGCCCGTGGGCATGGCGGTGAGATTTGGGCGATCTCTTGGCTTCAACACGACATTTCCAGAAAATCTTAAAGTAATATATGCCACTACTAGAGCAGCCTGAAAAAGGCAGGCTCGATTCGATTATGAGTTATTCTTTCTGGGGCCTGCACCTGTATCAAAGGGGCGCTGGGATCTGCCAAACGTCGAATCTGCGCAGGCAGGCGGTTGAAATTCGTGCTCCCTTGCAAGGATGTTGAGAAGCGAGCCTCGCCGATGGACGACGTGCTCAACAAACCGGCCTGCCCAAGCAATCGATGATTCGAGATCAGAAACGAGAGTGGCGCGGCGGTGGAAGTACATTTCTGGATGTGTGTATCAACATGGGTCACCAGGGTCAGCGTGTTTTGGGGCATGACCGATGCTGCTTTTGGTCGTGCGCATCCTGCGGGCTCTCAAGACTCATTTTGGGCTCGCTTCAGCTCGTTTGGCGGCAGGACCTTGTCTGTCCAGCAGCTCAACAACAAGCTAGTCATGGTTAGTCCCTGCGTTTCTGTCACGCAAGCATCCGACAGAAGTCCGGACAGGATCCAAACGCCTTCGAGGTCATCTGAAGGACTGAAACTGAAAGCCAACAAAGGCTGTCACAGGAGATCCGGGCCGAAAAGAGCCCTCTCTGAGGGTACGCACGTCCAGTCAGTTCCCTTGACCACGGACAGTTTGCTTTTGGGAAGTGGGGCCTTCGAACTCGAAGTAAAGCGACAGCAGCTAGCTGCAAGCAGGTGGCAATCAAGCTCAGAGTGGTCGGGTGTGGTTGCATCAAAACATTTTCGTAAACAAATAAATTGAACGTAGTTGAACAGCATAGGTCGAGTTGAGTTTCCCAACAAGCACCATCACAGCGGTGCCGTGCCTGGCGGAGGGCGGCCTCAGACCAAGCAGAGGTTGCGCTGCTTTGAGCCACCTATGCCCCCTCTCGCATTGAGCACCGCACCACAACTTTTTCCGAGTCTGCCTGCGGAACCGCCTCGGATCCACTGCAGCAACGTTGGTTAAGTCGGTTTCTGAAAATGGTACTCAAAATCTCACTTCAAGATCGCACTGACACTCTGTGTAACTCTCTGTCCTCTCTGGACAGCCAACCGATGGTGCCGATGGCTCTCAACTTCCGAGACTGTAGCCAGCAGCAGACCACCTGATGTTTGTGCCTTGCAGAGCCAGACATTGCTGTGGGTGGACGTCTTCTCTTCAGTAGTCCATCAGTCTATCAAGCCGAGGACGTCTGCAAGCAGCAGCTGCATCTGCTTGGACACACCCTGGCCACAGCGCCGGAGAGTCGAGACATTGCACATCAAGTCAGCACCAACCCCGCCTGTGCGAAGCGTGTCAGGCCTCCGGTCGTAACCAGCTTCAGATTGTTCACCGAACCACCAGGAACCTGGAGGCACAAGGAGCCCCAATGAAACCTTTCGAGACCCTCGCGAGCAGAGTCCAAGTGATCGGCGCATTGCTCGTCCACTGCCAGCTCCTTCGCCTCTGTCGGGTCGCGGTCGTGAACAGGAGCTGACCCGACCCGAAAAGAGTGGAGTTCAGGTTGGTGAGGCTGGCCTGGGGAAGAAGCGGCACAGCCTCAAATCTTGCAGTGCAGGTGAGCAACGCTGGCAAAAGCCAGGTCCTAGGATGCGGCAGAAGCTTGAACTGAGAATCGAACCCCAGCTGAAAGCACAGCTCCAAGTTTTTCGCCTCGAGTTCCACACTCGCAGATTGTGCCGATGAGATCTTGCAAGAAGAATTCACTAAATTCTGAACCCTGAGACCATCGCTCGGGCCGGTTGTGACTCGGGCCTGCGAAGCGTCTTGAGACTGAGTTGAAAGCTTCAAACTGCCGATGCAATCGCTGCCACTACCGCTACTATGATTTACTATGCATGACTGTCCCTGGCCTTTTTGGCGGGCGGCTCGACGCTGTCGTCATCGGAAGTCAACATCTCGCGGAGGTGGCCAAGCCTGCGAAGCGTACGAGAATCGTCCTGATTTGATGGCAATGGACTGTGAGCAGTGATGAGCCAAGCTCCTCGCAAGCCAAAGCCTGTGACATCCGTTGCAGCACGTACCTGATTCTCAACATGTGCGTGCGGGAGCTTTCAACTCCCTAACATAGCGGCCCAGGGTTGAGTACAGCGTGGCACGAACTTACATAGTTGGTCGACGCTGTGCCTGCGTGGTTGCTCGCGCAACCTCCGCTGCGGACCGATTCAGCTGCAACCTGAAGCAGGCATGCGGAATTGACAGACCTGGATTGTCCGACAACTTTCACCTTCATGTGTCTGACAGGTAACATCTATATAGAGTTGTAATCAACAAGCGGGGATCATCTCTCATGCACAAGCCTGCCTGTACAGTGTCATTAGGGCCGTTGGGTGGAGTGGTAGTTAGCCCTTAAGTCAAGCTTGGCTTCTCGCGAATCCCGCTTCTGAGCTGCCGAATCTGGTGCCTGGTGCCCTTTAGTTTGGGATCAAGCTTCAGGCTTCAGGTGGCGGCCACTTCTGGAATTGAACTGATGTGATGAGCGCCGACGAGCAACACTGCTTTCTCGCAGTCGCAGGACACTTGTGCGTGTTGCAAACTATGTTCTGGACTTGAAGTGCGTTTCTTGAACTGCAGCTTCCTCCTACTTCCACGACTTCAAGCACAATGGTACCGGTGAGGCTGCAGCAAAGTCTTCTGAAGACAATCTCGAGCTTCGCCACTCAAAATTCCTCAGGATTCTCAGCTCAGCAGATGCGGCAGGACTTCGAGAATCCCGATGCAGAAAGGTAGAGTTTGTGGTTGGACACTTTCAGGGCACCAAATCTAGTCCTGCAAGACTTTGAATCCGATAAGCGAATCCTTTCCCCCACATTCCTGCATCAAACCAAACCTGCAAGTTGGGGGGGGGGGGGACATTGCATGCCTCTCATCTATCCCGGGAGCTTCAACATGGCTGAAAGCTGATTGTTGAAACTGCTCCGAGGAAGCCGCCTTTTTTCTGTGCCGTGCCCAGAATCCCCGTGCCAATCCTCAGCGTTGCTTCTGCGCGCAGAAAAATCCAGTTGTTGCAGTTGCATGGCATAGCACATGCCGTACGGTGCGACCTTGTTCTTGAGAACCCAACGGTTTAGTCAGGATGAGGCGGTCTCCAGCTTGTAGTGAATTGTTCCGCCACACCTTCAAAGTCTGCTGTTCTACTACTCGGCGCAGGAAGACATCAAGTCAAGGGCCTCAACAATTGACGAACGCCCAAGCACATCTGCTAACGATATGATTCACTGCTCTTCGATCGCAGCTCTTGTTACCACACCTGGAATCCGACTGTGCACCACTCGCCGATCGACGCTCATGCATCGTTTCACAAAACAAGATCAAGCCCTTCCAGGAATGCCAGCCAAACAGCAGAGGTACCACCACAGGGCCTTGTCTGGATGCACAACACCTTGCAGCTGAAGGGTTCGGCAAAACCCTGGGTTTGGAGTATAGAAGATGCTAGAGTCCTCGCGTCGTTTGCCCAGTTTCACATGAAGGGGCAAGGGATCTTCTTGCGCTCCGAGGAGCCAATTACAGCAAGCCCATACTTGGGCTCCAGGTCCTCGACAGTGTGGCCGCCTGAGCATCAGGGGGGAGGACTGCGGTCGGACGAAGGCAAGCGTTGTCCAAGCTTCGCACCAAGGATAGCCACGCCAGCCTCCGCACACTTCTCCTGACCTGAAAAAGCGTCAGACGAGAATTCCACGAACTGTCGCTTGTGACCACGCTGCTAAGTGAGGGACGCAAGGAGAGCCGTTTTCTCAATGAATTCATGATACATGCTGCCTGCAAGGCCCCCAATTGCCTTTGGCCACGGGGGCCTGCCTGAAAAATTTGGAAAACCTCAATGCAGACCCCTCTTTGTGTCTGCTGGGACGACGGAAAATACTTGCGACGGGTCTGCAGCCTGCATGCAGCTGTCGGCCGGCCAGAGAAGAGACGAGCAAACACACATTTCTGGCTATTTCCAAATTTTTATCTCATTCATGTGTCGAATCCAGAAATCCCGGGCCCGATTTAGAAAGTCGCGACTGTCTTTAAAGTACGAGAGTCTCTGTTGTGCAGAGCCAGACTTACCAGCTCACCACGCAGCGGCGAGGGTAGAGGAAGTGCGAATCCTTTTCATTGGGGTCGATGCCATTCTCGCCTTCGTGCTTGCGCACACACACACACATACACCGAAACAAGAAAAGAAAGGACCCAAGCATGTGTTTGTAATGATATCATAGCGGAAGCCGAGCTTCTTATGATGGTGCCCGTCTGGTAGACGTGCCCCAGCCTGAGCTGAGTTGCAACTTGGTTTCAAAGACACTGGGGCCCCGAGCCCCGGTGTAGTGTTTAGCTTGGGTACACTGCCAGTGTCTTGTCCCAGAGGTATGCCAGTTCCTAACGTGTTTGAAGTGAACGTCCTCCACTCAGCCAAGGGGCACTAGAAGCCCTCGCAGAGCCTCAAGAGAATTCAATTAACAACTTGGGTCTGATTTGGCTTCACCATTCTGGATCTGGAAAGGGCTCAAATATGCGAAAGTCTTGTCCGAGGCCCGTACGTTGTTGCGAATCACAGAGTCCTAGGTGCCCAACAGTGCTAGATGCCCTCGAAAGCACCAGGACACCGTGTAGCAATAGCAACCCTGTTGCAGTGCATTCTCAGCTGTGGCTCGATCAGCTCGCAATCTGCGCCCTGATCTACGATGATGCCGTGGAAAGTCTTGCCTGACGTTGGGCAGATTTGGATTCTTGCGTCTTCGGGATGCTCCCGCACTCTAGCTTCTCCTCAAGAGAGGGATGTGTGAAGGGATGCTGCGGCAAACACCAGCCTTCGACTTTGCAGTTCTTGAGACGGACGTTGGCCCCCGAGCGGGCAATCAACCCTGTGCCTGCGAAAGTTGCAACTTGCCACAAGCTGCCACTAGTCACTAGTCACTAGTACCCATATTTCTTTCCGACAACAGAGCCATCATTGCTCTGATTAAGGGTATTCAACTTGCCTCTTCATCCGTAGCTAAGGCATCTCACTGAAATTCAACTGCCTCATAAGAAGTCAGCTCACCCTTCGAGCCTGGGCCTGTCAGCACCACACCGTCCATCTCCAGTGGGGCGCCCATTACGGTGATCTGAGACTGCATCTGCTATTGTATGTGCATTCTTGCATTCTGCAGAGTACAAGCTGACATGTCTTGTGCTGCATGAAATGCTGGGTGAGCGGCACATCCCTGCAGCATGGCGCCACGCGAGACCAAGCGTAATGGGGTACGGATTTCAAGGCTCCGCATGTCCTCAATACACCCCATGCAACTAAGCGAAAACATGAAGCATTTGAGAATTTGACGTGCGTCCACGCCCTGAAACGCCCTAAAGGAATTCATGATGACCTTGCGTGAACTCCAGGCCCAAAGCTGCATATTTCTGCAGAAAGCTCCATCGGAGCTAACCTGTCTGGATACAGCGTCGGCCCTTATACTCATGCGAGGTCATTTAGCTGCACTTTGGCTGAGGTTTGAAACTGCTGATGTCTTCCAAACCCGAGACGTCCCAACGTATCGCTGCTGCTGAGGCGCATGGTACGACGAATCAACGGCGATGTCGTCACAGCCCGCTGCTATCCTCAGTGCCGACCAGAAAGTTGTGGACCCTTCGGCCGACAGGGTCAACCTCACAGCTGGCATGGGTTGGCTTCCCTGAGCAGGCCGAGCAGCGCTGCTGCGATGGTGGGATACTGCTCCGGTACCATCGGTAATCCTCGTCTGAATCTCTCGCTCTGACTTCGGCCCTGATTTTGAAGCTGGCTCACATGTCCCAATCGCCGTCAAGCCAAGAGTCGCTCAAGCAAGAACTCTGCCACTTGCAGGAGGAGCTGGCTGCCCAGCAGAAACCAGTCCTGGATTGCTGCTGGTGATGTGTTCGGGGCGAGACTGCGGTGTCATCGTTCTCGATTGCACTCAATCTACATTTCAGATGGTATTGCAATGTATTGCATTCGCTCAAGCATGAATAAGGCTTCTTCTGACTGTCATGAATGCACCCCGCCAACTTCGCTGAGGTCCTCAGCCCATTCATCTGTCTGCCCCTGTCAATGCATCTAAGTCTCAGCCCCTTTCAGGTGCAGGTTGCTGAAGGAGGGTGTGCGCATGGCAACCTTGGCACCGCAAAGGACGGGCAAAGGCCTCATCTACAGAACTAGGAGGGAGCTTCGCCGCACATCCCCACTAGGCCGCGAAATGGTGGAAGCGACCGGCGACCGGTCCAGTACTACTCTTCGGCGAGGTGCATTTAGCGCCCGTGCGTCTGCCAGGCCTTCCGGTCCTCGGCTTCCAGGCACGTCCGCCGAATGCCAGATGTGAATGTGTGTGTGTGTGTGTGTCATGAGTGGTCTCGTGAGACCGAATCCCATGTGCCCAGCACAATCTCGGGCACAGCTTACACTTAGCCGCAGAGTGTCTGAAGCGCCAGGACGTCTTCGATTCGAGCAGCCGGTCGAGTTGCATTGCGGCAGCGAAATTGGATGGGAAAGTTTGCTTATGTGAACGACTGTCCAAACTACTTCGAGTGTGTGTTCCTACATAGTCGTTTTTTGCTGCACGTCACGAAAGCCATGTTAGCTCCAGCGGACTGCAGTCTAAATAAGAAGACCTGTTGCCACGATGCAGCAAGCTTACAATCCACCACGTCGACTAGTTGCAGCTGGTCGTGGCAACTCCATACGTCAGAAATGTTATAAATCATCTGCATGTTAGGTAGCTTGAGCACATAAGGAAGGGCAGTTCGGTTGATGCAGACACAATCATGATCAACGCAGCTTGCGCCTTTCCGTCCTAACCACGCGGTCCTCCTGTCGTAACGTTGGAAAGCTGAGGCGCAGGACCTCCTTTCAGAATCCTGCCAAAGGTCGCGAAAACACTTCATCGCACCCAGCACTGATCTTAAATCATGCAGAGTCGCTCTCCATACCCGCGACTACATCCGGCCTGGATTTGGGACAAGAGCATTGTAAGTATCTGACCCAAAGCTGCCCCGTCACCGTCACAGGGGAAACACAAATTATCATGTTTAGGTTTGAGGTTCCCTCGGCCTTTTCATATGGCAAGGAGCCGAGAAACATGTCTCACACCGGGTTTTAGGGCCTTGCCAGAACGGAGGGTGGAAGCCGATTCGACGGAAAGCCGACCTGTCATGCGAAGCTCCGAAGCTCCAGGCCTGGGGCTTAGGCTTTAGGGGTTTTAAGCTTCACAAAGGTGGAAGCTCTGCAGTTGAGGCTTTCGTTTGGGAACTAAACCCGACTTCCGTGCCCTAACATGGAAGTAGTCAAAGCCTGGGTGATCTTCCAAGGACCGGGCAATATTCAGAGCGAAGATTGGCTTGGCACCCATGGCGTACCTGCAACGCACCCAGTACTTTGTCCCTGCCACTACCCATACGAGGAAACTGACTCCTGGGAACACTGGCAAAGCCTTGTGCCCGGACGGCAAACTCTCGAAATCGCGCCATGGCCCAAGAACCTCCACCCTGCTAGAGCAAGGAGCCGGAGCACACATCTGAAAGGGCATTGGCCGCGGCGATGCCGCCGAAAACCTGTCATCAGGACTCTTCTTACCACTCTCGGTTGCGGCAGGTTCTCATGAATCTGTGTCCTAGGATGTCTTTCTCGAACACGATCACCGACCGCGCTTCACAAGATACCTGCGCAGCGCTACCTGTAACTCTTGGACTTTGAGGGGGGGGTGGGGGGACCCCCTAGGGTGGGCCGGAAATGGGTCTGGACCTATTTCGGGTGGGTCC